AGAGTCAGCAGCCAGCAGAGCAGTTTTCACACCAATTCATCAGCCTCAGGATGAAAGCCACACAGGCTCTGCAGTTCTCATTGTAGTGCTCACTCTGGCTTTGGCTGCACTCATCTTCCGCAGGATCTACCTTGCACATGAGTACAAGTTTGACTATGATTTGTGACCTTCCTCCTGAGTCAACCGCTCGTACTACCAACTCCACAGAACTTTAATTAGCTAAAGCAGAACCAGAGGTGAGGCAGTGGCTAACAGTGACTACAGCTGTCCTCTCTGCCTGTCCACAGAGGGTTCAGCCTCCACTTAGGGGGAACTTTCATTCCTCTAATCGCTAGAACACCTCCAGGGTGTCTTTAATTTAATGTGAATTTTACTTTTCAGAGCATCTTGAATTTTTGTGAATGGGAAACTTCATTGTTTGTGACCTGTTAAACCACACACACACAACATGTCCCCTTCCATAGAAATTGTCTTACAGCTGCTGACTGTTTCCAATATTGAAATAACAGAGTAACGTAAAATGACAACAACATAGGATCAGGGGCAGTTGTTGTCTCATACTAATTATTTGATCAAGAAAGCATCTGCACAAATTACATGTGCTATTATGACTTTATCATGTGTTTTATCTTCCTGCAAGGTCAGCTTGGTCACAGTGCACAGGGCTCTGTTTTAATGGTTTAAGGCTAACAACAAGCACAAAGTTAATGTGGACAATTGTTTTAATTGCACGGGGGCATTCAGACCAATCTGAATAGCAGAAGCTGCAGCTGCATCACCGTGTGTCCTGCTACTTTTAGGTGACTGTGGGGATTTAATAGACTGATGTAGAAGCTTTCCGTACACTGTAAAACATCAGTAGTTCAAACAAGGACCAAGACAAATATTAAAAAACTAAATTTCATAAATTAATCTAAATACAGTACAACAGAGCTTTAGGTTAAAAAGAGTGGACTATAACGCAGTCTATTCCTTTATAGGTATAGTGTCTTTTACAGATACCTGTACCGATATCCTGTGCTATAATCACTGTCATTTTTGTCTGTGTATTTATTTGAAAAGAATACAAAAAGAGTATTTAAAATGTTTAAACTGAGATTTTTTTCTTGATTTCCCCCAAATACAATACATTTATACTCATCTTATACAAAGTTGTCTGTGAAGATCCAATTAATACTGAATTATCAGTGCATCTAAAGATTTTGTTAGCAACTTGTGCTACTGATAAGATGATAACCCTTAGCTAAGGTACTGCATATTCCAGCAAGAAAATACTAAACAAAACAACCAAATAGTAAATATTAGAAAGGATATCTGCAGTAAAAGTTCAGGTATATAACTAAAGGCAGAGGAACTTGTGCTTGTATTGCACACTAGTGCACAGGATTTTGGTAATGTGCACCAGAATTGGTGAAGGCATGTGTAGAAATTAGCAACACTTGCTTTCAGTAAGTATTTTAAGTCAATCACAATATTAATTATTCAGCACAACAATGGTAAACCACATTCTTCACAAGTTGTCATAGCACTATAGCTCCATAGTAAAAGCCTCGAGTGTTATGTTTCTTCACTGTCATCATTGGATGTTGTCTTTGTACTATTTTCATTTAAATATAGGGTTTAAATTAATTGTTACTTTTTTGGAAATGGGGTTAAAAATTGATGAATCCTTTCAAAGTGAGGTTTAGGATTATGCTTTCTTTTCCTCTAAACTTTAACCCTTTAAAGCCTAAAAGAATTGTCCGAAAATTTGTTGAACAATCTGGGAAATATGATATACTAGATGTTAAGGGGTCAAAGGTCTTTTAGTGGCTGAAGTGTCTAATGTCTTGTACACAGAAACATTTAAGACACATTTCCATCAGAACACTACCTGCTTTGTGCTGAAGCATTTGTTATATGTTGTGCTGCCACCAAAATAGAGCCTGGAGTGTAAAGCTTCCTAGTAATCCTGTGAGACTGATCCAGTATCAGCTAAATGCATGTTTACTGAAGAACATGATCAGGGTAGACAGCTTTGTTAATCTTATTACCATAGCAATGTTTATTGGTGATGTCATTTTAAGGATTACTTGCTCAAACAAGACAGTGTCTTCATAAACGTCTGCCAAACGTGCAACCAAGTGCTTACTTCCAACACAAGTATAACTGCCTGGACTCTTCACCTATCACACCAACATCACACTTTGTTTCCAACACAAACTCGCTTTTCTGTGGATTTGTAATTCCATTTGTTTCAGTATCTTTCCTCTTTCGGTACTTCTGTCATCCCAGCTGTTTCATGGTGTTCATAGCACATGTCTTTGCATTCATTTTTTGTTTGCCTTGCATTCTCTGAAGTTATTTTTCCCAGTTTTTAGACTCAGAAACTGTCTCAAGCATTTAGTATTTACCCTTTTTGATTCAACTTAGATTTAGAATTTTATCAGTCTCGTGACACTCAGAGGAACATGGAAGCAATTTAAATGTATTCTTTGCACATCAAAGGTGACAGCTTTCTGATACGTAGAACGTCTTGGCTGCATACAGATAGGTCAAAGGAAGTTGCAACAGTCTACAGGAACAAATTTGCCTCTGTAGTCTTTTTCTTCTTCAAGCAGCATCGGATACCTGCATATGTCCAGGTATTACATGTAGACATTCAAGATTTTATTTTTTTTTTAATCAGTGTGCATTTTGTCAGAATTTCTTTATGATAGTCTCCTCTGTCTTTATTCCCATAGCTCTTGTACTTGGATATAAACAGAAAATAAATCAATTTCAGATGAAGGAATGTGTTTGCCATGTGCCAAGTTTTATTCTGTCTTATCCTTATTTATTACCTTATTTAGCCCCTCACAGCCCATTGTTCATCAGGGGGCTAGTTTCAGTTATTGTGCAAATGTACTGTTCATAAGGTTGGGAAAACCTGCAGTAGCTGAGACTGAAGAATCAACAGATTCAACAGAATCAACCTTTTGGGATTTTCTTACCTGAATGATCGAGCATGCATCAAGTCAAACTCTGATGATCAAGTTGACCTCTTGCAGTTGTGTGCAGGGCCTGGATCCCAGAATGTGTGACAATCAATAGATGCTCTCTCATTGTTTCACTGCCTGTTAAACTTGTTACAGTTTCCTTTGGGCATATTATCTTGCTTTTCAGGCTCTTCATGCTCAAATTGCAAGATTTTGATTAAAAACGAATCAGGGCCTTCAGGACAAAAAAGTTGTTCGATCAATGCAACGTGTCTAAATGCTTCATTCAAAACACGTCAACACCAAGTTTGTTTTTTCATTCGATAGCCATACCCTACATTTAAGAATTAAAATGGCATTATTTTATGAACATTATTTTTACACAGAAAAAATTAAAGCCAGATGACTATCAAAGTGTACAGTAAAGCCACCCACACCTTTTAAAAGCTCACCCAATATCCACTTTTTGAAGTTTTCCACAGTGAATGATCAAAGGACATATCAGATATCTAGTTTTTAGTCTTCTAAAGACATTGAATTGATGCTGTTTTTGTAGTGAAGCTATGATGCATGCCATGATGATGGTCAAAGTATGTTATAGATTAAAATCAGAAAGAACCAATCAGCTAAGTAAAGAGAAATGACAGGCCATGATTACTTTCAGAAAATTTACTTTTTTTTTTCAGCTTTATTTGATAGATACAGGGAAGAAACGACAGAGAGAGAAGGGGAAAGGGTCGGACTTGAACCGGTGGACCGTCCGCTCTCATCCATATGGCACGTGATCGCCCCCTGAGCTAGAGTGCAATTTTTATTTTTAAGGGGAAAAAAATCACACTGAGGATGCCAAAGTCATGTATAAAATATGAAACGCTTGGTGTTAAGGTAAGGAATTACAAAAGGGTAAATTGAACTCCTCTATGTTCAACACTGTGTCTGTGACGGTTCTCGGTCATCCAGGTCATCGTAGTCGAAGGAGCTTGGAAAGAAAAGCGACCGCACGTTTCACCTCTCATCGGAGAAGCTTCTTCCACAATGGTATACTGCAAACTTGGCTCTCTTTGCCCGAGAGATGTCCAGTGTTGAATCATTTCTTTCAGTATTACATACAGTATTTCTTTCACAGTGTTGCATCCCCTTCCTCGAGCCTTCATACAACCTTATCAAACCTTGTCATATAAAGATGTGAAAGTAATTACAGAGACTGTGTTCAAATTTCTGTCAACATATGAAAATTAAAAATACAGATACCAATGTTAGAATAAACAGCTGTACTATCCTGATTTTATTCAATGTGTTTTTGGGTCCAACTCCTGCTATCATGGACTTTTGTAGGCTTTTCTTTTTCACATTTGAACAACATCAAAAGTTGTTTAAGGAGGACAGCCTCCATTTTTACTGTGCTTGTTTTTATTGCCTAATTGTAAAATCTACTCTTGCCAGTAGCAGTAGCAGCAGCAGTAGTGAACCCGGGCGGGCTTAAAGAAAATCATCATCTGTTTGTTTCTCCAAACACTTGATAGGATAATGCATTCTAATCATTTAAGAGCACATCGTCCTCAACACCCACAAAGACTGCTCGAAAATTTGGTGCTGAGTTGACGTCAGATTATCTGGGAAGAAATTTACTGTAGAGAATCATGTCCTGACTGACAGTAGAGGATTTTGGCGAAACCTCTGATTTTATAATGTATATATCTCCTATTGTAAACTGAAAATGATATCGCAAATGCCGGACAGTCATACATACAGCTGACTGGAATTAATCTAAGGAGTGTAGCTCGCAAATATTGTTTTTCATTGTTATTTTTTTTTAATATTAATACAACGATCACTCCCAGCTCGTCAGGCGTTCATTATGTTTATGTGCTTGTTTATATATTTGATTATTTCATGTGACGCTACATGTGGTCCTGAAGCTGCGCGCTCCTATCCACGAAAAGCACCTCTGGAGTTTGATGACCAATCACGGCGCTTTTCAGTCTTCACCATCAGTCTCTCTCTGCGAAGCAACTGGCGCACTCCTTCACCACAGTCTCTAGACTCAAGCTCGATTGTCTTCCTGCTTTAGACAGAAACATGGTACGGCTCACGGAGGGTGCTGCGCGTGGAAGGAAAACGTCGCTAATCGACTCTCAGCTGGACTTCTAACTCATCATGCCGCGTTATACCAGGGTCCTGCTTCTAGTTTTGTGTGTGAGTCTGATCGGGGAATGCCGGAAACACAGAAGTAGGAAAAAACGGTGGTCGGCACCGGCCGGGACTCATAAGCCAGCAAAGTAAGTTCTCTGTTTCGTTGTATTTTAAAGTAAAAGAAAAAGAAAAACAACAACAACAACAACAACAAAAACCCCAAATGAAATGAAACAGCAATGTGACGTAAATCTTTTTGCACGTCTAGATAATTCACTCGTGGTTCATCCATCATATTAAAACATTAGTGTGGCACTGAACAGCATATTTAAGTCTTTAGTCTTTCTTTCTACGAACACACAGAATCACAGCATTCAAGTGTAAATTCCCCGTGGCTAAATACATTTTACCAATTTGCAGTCCGGTTCATTTTTGAATGGTAACTAATTGTGTGTTTATGCAACCAAACCGTGCGTAAAAAGCAGCCACAGAACAGCAATCCGCTGTCCTCGAGCTTCGAGAAATCATCTACAGCAAAGAAAACCATGCTTGGAGATACAGCGTGTTATACAGATGTTATTTTAGTTATCAGGACTTCTGTGAAGGGAGCAGGAACGGGTCCGTGGGGGGCAAGAATTTTAGGAATTATCATTCTGCCTGTTATTTAGCTGCTATCGTTCGCTGATTGTCAGCTCTCTAACAGGAGCACTCCATGACTCTATATCCTGGATTTAATCTCTTTGGCTAACAAGATGTGCAAGTTACTGATGCTGATCGTGTAACGTCGGATTACAGACTCACGTTTCCTTTAGTTTCTTCCGTAATAATTCAGTTTTCCTTTTCATTGTTGATCTGTTGCTGATTATTCCTGATTTCACATGTGTCATGGTTCCTGTTTTCCCCCAGTTTTTGTGTGTTCTTGATTCAGTTCTGAGTTATGATGTTATGATTTCCTTCCAGCTTCTCATGTTTTAGTCTCCCCCTATGTTTAATATTATGCCCCATTGTTCATAGTTCACTTATGGATATTTCTAGTTTCTAGTCTCAGCTAGTTCCCCCTCATGTCCAGTTTGTCTTAATCACATCTTTGTGTTTTTTCCTTCCAAGCATCCCTCTTGTATATCAGCATTCTCTCTGGCTGTTTACATGTCAAGTCTACATTCTGCACTTCCTGTCTTAATTTACCACCAGTCCCTGGTCTTGTGTGCCTTGTGCTCAGCTTAGTTTCAGTCTTGTTTCTCAGATTTAGCTCGTGTTTTCTTGTGTGTTCCAGCTCCAGTTAATTATGTCACATGTGTACTTAATCCCCCAGTTTCCCTCAGTTCCTGGTCGTGTCATAAACCGTCATGCTATGTGTCTCCCCTGTGTCTCCCCTGTGTCTCCCCTGTGTCCCTTTTGCCCATCCAGTAGTTTCTCAGGGTATTTTAATACTCGTTTTTTAATTTTATTTTTGCTGTACCTCAAACTGGGCTCTTACAGTGTTTGTGGATCATAATTATTTGGACACTTGCTAACTGCTTTTCTTCCTTCATTTTATATGTAAATAGAGTTGGTTGCAACTCATAAGGGTCACCATTCATACATGATCCATTCATACCACAAGTGACAGCAACTTAGTATAGTGTGTTATTTTGTCACCAAAATTCAGAAATGTGCATCCATCAACCTTTGCATTGCATTTAACTGTGTGACTTTAACTTGCAACAACTCACCTCCCACAAGATTTAAGAGTAAAATGTCTTTATTAATTGAGCTATTTATATGTATTAGATTTATTGTGTTATATTTTGTAACTTTGCAATATATTGTGTGATTTAATTTAGTTGACTTTTATTAATGCACAAAGTTCCTAAATATTTTTCATTTGAATATAAATATATGTCTTATAGGGAACTTGCTGGAACACCTGACACTGTTGTTATTGTAAGGCCAGGCTCTGAGACCAGGATGGAGGACAGGTGTGTAACACATTTGTCTTTTATGCCCAACATTCCAATGTTGCAATTAATTGTTCACATTTGTTTTTAACTGTGACCACAATCTTTCCATAATAATAATTATAATTATAAATGTATTCATCACACTCAATCACAATTACATTTGTAAATTTCAAGAAAAAATATTTGCAAATTAATTACGGGTCATAAAAGCAAAGTTTGAAAAGATATTAGATATTATTTTATTTTATTTATTGTTGTTTGGATAGTGTAATGGTTGTTTGTTCCTAACAGAATTATCATTGTGACCATTAATAAAACAACAGCAGTCTTTCTAGTTTAAGGGTGACAACGTCCGCATTAGTAAACAGCACATGACTTTTAGAGTCTCATGTGGTACTACTTCTTGATTTCATCTTTACTTTCTTTGTCCTTTCTTTAGTCAGAGTTAGGAAAGCTGATGGTTTGGCCTAGTATAGACAAATTATCACATTAGGAAGTTGAGGTTTCTAGGCAACCAGGGTGACAGGTTCAGCTCACACATGTAGGCAGAGGTCATTTAGTTTTAAATCATAAATGTAATAAGTAATAATAAGCTGGTTACACAACTGAACTATTGACTTATTTTGTCACACAGCAGTCTCCTTCTAATTTAGCCCAAATGTTCAGCTGTGAATCATCAGCCTGTTGGGTTCATAGAAAATGTGGTATGTGTTTTGCAATGAGTGAGGATTGTGGATGTTGTTCACCACTGCTAAATTGAAAGATCAATATGAAGGAATCATTTACTGACAAATATGAGGAGTAAGAATGATTTGAGTCATGGGCACCTGACAGTTTTTGCTTTTAGCAAACGTTCACTACTTCTTAATCCTATCTTTTAGTTCCCCTTTTTTTCTCTGTCTGGTTTTTGTCATCAGTCCTCTATCAAAGAAAGTTGTGGATGGAACTAAAAGCCGGAAGGTAAAGACCAGCCACCTCCTGCGCATTGATGAACACGATTTCACCATGAGGCCCGCATTTGCAGGTAAGCTCCAATAGCTGCTAATTTCCATCATGATAAGAGTAATGTGTTCTTGATTTCTTTAAAGACATGTGTTTTCTGAGAAATATAGAAAACCTACAGAGGCAACTGGATATGTCAGCTCAGCGCTTCACTAACATAGTCTCCCAGTCTATTTCTCCAAATTTTGTTCAACCTAAAGTCAATGTTGATACCACTCTGACTCTTTCCTTCTTGACTGACCCTTGTAACCCTTAGTTTAAAAAAGATTCATTCCATGATCACTTGTGCTCTTTAACACGTGACTCCTGTGAGACTCTCGTGCAGTCATTTAAATGAGGAAGAAGTCAAAGTGTGCACCAGCTGTTGCAGTCCCTTCTGGCTTTAAAAGTAGCGACTGCAGTGTAACTAATGAAAGAAGTGTTTAGTGTTTGAACTGCTTCTAAAATGTATATCAGAGTGTGACAGTACACAAGGTTTATCGTCAGCAGTGTATAAGGAGAGCTAATAAGGTTTCTGTGCTTATAATTAAAGCACCTGCACTGCTCCCATTGGACTGTGGTGAGACACATTTAATAGATGAACAGTAGCAGACAGTTTGGTGAAATATTTGGAATATTTCATATGACATCAATCTGCAATGTATTTATGTAGCTCCACCTTCATGACTGTCTACAAAACAGGGCAGATACACTTGTATGGATTGGTTCTATTTGTAGTATTGAGACGGTCTGGTTTTTATGTCACCAATGTCACTCTGAGGAACTCTGCAGTGGGATTTCTTTCTGGTTTTACTGTGTGTTACATTTCCATTGTCTGTGAACTGCCAAGGTTTGCATAAATGTCATCATTAGACATGGAGCATGAGGTTTGGAGTGGACATCTACGTGCACGACAATTTCTTTAGGAATGTGCGGCCCCATCAGCGGGGACTTTATGTTCCACAGGCAATGCAATGCACTTAATATGCATGTGTTGCAAAGACTTCAAAGAAGTATAACAGGAATGATTATTCTTCCAGCTGTCTGTGTCTATGTTCGCAGCAGAGTAAAATCACTGCTTAATGCACAGGCCTAGTTGTCTAATCTAAGCACAGTCAACCAACAGTGGATTTACAGTTGTTAATCCACACAGAGTTCAGCATGGAATGGACAAAGTGTTTTCTCTCTCTATTCTGGTGAACGGACAAGATAATAATTCAAGCTCTCAAAACTAAGGCTGACAAGGAAAAATTACAGCTGCAATCTTAGATATGTGAAAAAATAAAAAGCAGTTGATTAGTATTTAAAAATGAACTCATGCTTCAGAATCAATCACATTACCGGTATGTATGTAGGGAGACACTCCTTAAAATCCGCACTGCACCATTTGAATAGATAGAAACAAAGGAAAGATTGATGGAGGGGTTTGGTTTTTTGGTTTGGGTTTGGTCAATTTAGCACACAAAAGAACTAGATAAATAGCAGCCCCACATGTGCTGAGGCACAGGATTAAGATAAGATAAGATAAGATAAGATAAGATAACCTTTATTAGTCCCACACGTGGGAAATTTGTTTTGTCACAGCAGGAAGTGGACAGTGCAAAAGTTATGAGGCAAAAATTAGAATACAATAAGAATAAATACAGTACACAACTGTACAGAATAGAATAAAATAAAATACTATATACAGTAGAATAAAATAAAATAAATATACAATAAGATAAAAATAGAATACAAATACAAATACTATATACAACTGAGTAAAAATACAACGATGACAGAAAGGATTATTGCACTTAGTATTATTGCATATGTATGGATGTGTGTGCTTGATCAGTTAAAGTCTTTATTATGGAGTCTGACAGCAGTGGGGAGGAAAGACCTGCGAAATCTCTCCGTCCCACACCGTGGGTGCTGCAGTCTCCCACTGAAGGAGCTGCTCAGTGCTGTCACAGTCTGCTGCATGGGGTGGGAGATGTTGTCCATCAGGGATGACAGCTTAGCCGCCGTTCTCCTGTCACTCACCACCTCCACTGGGTCCAGAGGGCATCCTAGAACAGAGCTGGCCCTTCGGATCACCCTGTTCAGCAGGGGTCAATAATAGTGGGACACCCCCACTAGGGCTTAAATACCTTGGACTCTCCAACAATTGCCCTTAAATCTGAAGAAGCTTTTTGGATACGAGGTGAAATGTCTTCAAGAAACTTAAAGAAGTCCAGTCGCTTTTCTTTCCAAGGTCCTTAGAGCTCCATAGGCCATACAGCAAAAGTATTTTTCCCTATGACATGAGCTGAAATTTACTGATGATAATGGAGAAATGAAAACGAAAGGCTCATCCCAAGAAACAAACTTGTAAAAGCATATGCGTTACTACTACTAATAAAATCTGTTCAATAATTTTACTCTAGAATGAGCAAATGTTAGTCTACTAGTTGACTAGACTTTCCTTATCTTTACAAAAAAGATTACACAGTTGTATGACTCCAATCTAACAGCAACAGTAACTGAAAACGTATATATGTTTATGTATTTTTAAAATTTTAAACAAAAGTTAAACTAACAGGAAATGCAAACCCTGGTTCCCTGGGTGAAAACCTATCACGCCAACACTGTGGCACATTTTGTACATACTGTTTTGTGATCTCAAACATGTATTTGTGACAAATATACCAAAAAATAAGAAATCAAACACATTTCCACAGCACGAATGTAGCATGATGGATCCATAGTGATGATGCACTTTTGATTTGTGGGCAAATCCACACATAGGACACTTCATGCAACTATCTCATCAGTCTATAAATGTTTGGAAGAAGAACGGATACCTGCTTTACATTCTCAGTAATTTATTGAACATGAAAACTTGTATTCGTCCTCTGGATAGACCACCGCTATTTCCTTGTCACTCTTTTTGGCTCAAAATGGACTTTGACTGTAGCCAGAAATTAGGCAATCCTGCTCCAAAAGCACTGCTAGCTGAGGCTTTTTCTCTGCAGGCATCTAGTGTTATGTCAGCTGAAGGGGCGTGTCTTCAGGAGGAGTTATAGTGAGTCCAGAACGTGACATGTGACATATGATGTGAGTAAGAGAGGGGAGAACACTGACAGCTGGAGCTGGGCACGAGTTACTATCCCTTCTTCCAGGTAGCAGCTTTGCTGTGCAACCAGTTATGTAAGGCTGACTCTCTCACTGCTGCAGAGATTAACAACACCACAGCAGCCAATGTGACTTTCATACAGAAACGACAGACTGCTGTGTGAATTTGTTTCTATCTGTTATGAGCCTGCTAGGATACTCTTCCATATCCCTCTAAATCCCAGACTGGCCTTAAATATAATCATCTCATCAACTAAACAACACAGAGGAACAAACATGAGAATGCTGTGTTCTGCCTAACTCAACCTTTCATGTGAAATTACCAGTTATTACTACTGGCTTTAACGGGATACTCCAGCCTGTTATTCTAGGATTGTGTAAGGAATGCACTGAAAGCAAGTTTGCAGATCATAAGAGTGACTGCATCACATCTGATGTCACATTTCTATTGAAATCAAAGAAGATCTTAGCACACTTAGTTTGTGTCATCAGAAACAAACAGTTAGACACTTACCCATTCATGAGACAATATGCTATAGTTATGAAAGCCAAAAGTTCTTGTCTGTTGTGGAATTTCAGCTGCTCAACACTTTGGGGCCCTCACTGGCTTCTTTTTTTTAAAATTTCAAAATGTACCCAATAATTTCAGTGGGAACTGTAGGCAGGCATGCTGTTTTGCCATGGGGCCATGTTGTTGGATGTCCAGTTTGTCATCATCTTACTGATATAAGCATGGAAAAAAATGCCTGTGCATAGTTCAGTTTTATTGTTGCCTTTACAGATGTGCAAGTTACCAAATGTGCATTAGTGCACCATAGACCTTACCCCTCAGGATTCGGTGTCCATCGTTTTCAACATGTCTTCGTTTAGGTCAGACCAGAGTCTGGCCAAAAGGAAGACATTTTCAGGACAGTGTTCAACTTTGAGATCTTGTGTTTTCCTGCTGGAGTTTAAACTTGCATTTGTGGATGCAGTGACAAACTGTGTTCATAAGCAATAGTTTATAGAAGAGTTTCTGAGTCAATATAGATCTAGGTCGCTTCTTAAAGCTGTTGTCAAGGCTCCACTGTGTGGTGTTGAGAGTAGGGCCCAAATGCAGGATTCACAAAGCAAGATTTAAAATTCAAAAGGAGCTTTACTGCTGAGAACTTCAAAGTAAACATAACATAAAGCAGGAACAAATAATCTGACGAGAGGCACCTAACTGGAGGCACACAGCGAGAGACACAGCTTGAGGGTGGACGTGACAAATAACAGAAGCAAACCGAGGCTTTAAATAAACAAGAGGTGATTATGTCAGAGTGCCAACACCTGCAAACACAGCTGAATTGAATCTGACTAATTAAACAAGGGGAAGCAAAACCAAATATAATGCACACAAGATGAGGGACTGTCAAAATAAAACTAACACTGCAACCAAGACTATGACATAGAAACTGGACACAGTTTAACAGGGACCATGGAGACAAGACAGAAAGATACAGGGACATTATGGGGGAACAAGAAAGGTAAATAAAAAAGGAGACAAGACTGACATGTCACAGGAGACAGTGACGACAAAACAAAAAGACGAAGCTGGGACAGACTGGACACGACAGATATATAACATAATAAAATAAGAAACCAAAATCTTAAAACAGAACTCAGATGCACTACAAAATATTATACTCAAAACTAAATATTACAAAATTTGACCATAAGTCATCTTTTAAATCCAAAAGAAAGAAGAATGAGTCTACAACAAAAACTTAAAACACTGGATCAGCGACCCTGGACCATGACAGCAGTGCTACCTGCTAGCCAATTATTTCAGCTTGACCTTTATGCACAGATTTTTCTTGAGTCTCTAAGAATTTGTACTATAGATGATGAAATCTAGTTTTTTTGCAGTTTGGCAATGAGAAATACTATTATTTACTGGTTAAACTTTTTGTATAGGCCTTGTTCAGTCTTTTGAATTATGATGAACTATTACTATTAATTACTTACTTATTAAGGTCAAGGTGAACTTAATAAGGTAGCGTGTTTCCTGGGCTTGTAATCATTGTCTTAGCATCTTTGAAATATGTTAACAACAAATTTAAAATTTGTTTGCAGGATTTCAAATGTCAGTGACAATCTGGTTACTTTTTCCATTTTATTATTTCAGTTGAATATAGAGAATATTAGAAAATCATCTGTACCTCTTTTTATTTACAGTATGCACAGGGTTCTAACTTTTTGGATAAAGTTTCAAAAGCAATGTGATTTTAATAGATGTCTTCACTATTATTAATTTGTAAATAGCTTTTTAAGTGTGCTTATTCCTCTGTGCACAGATATGCGCCTGCACAGTTTCTATCCTTGGGCAATAAAGACTAAAGACAATAATGAAAGTACTTTAGGTTCTACTTATTCTCATTGTCTTATTTCCAGTGTTGTAATATACTATTTACAGAGGTGGGAGGTAATGAAGTATTTGAACTGTACTGTAATTTTTACTTTTACTCCCTTAATTTTTTAAGAAGTATCTGTAATTTCTACTCCTTACATTTTCAAAACAGACTTGTTACCTTTGGTTTAATGTGTTATTTTAACTTTAAAAATCACGGTGATTTGAGCCTAAACAGTAACACAGAAGACAGTCCCGTTCATGTATTAATCACTAAGGGTGAAAGGGATGTGCCATAGTCAGAGGTTAAAGTGGGCCAGTGTTTATTTATTCATTTATTATCATTGTTATTATTTTATTTTATTTTTTGGCACAATACCAGAACAACTGCATGTTTCCATAAACTGCAGTTGCAGTACCAGCTAGTCCTATAGAAGAAGAGTGAACATAAAGTGGCAGGTAATTTCAAATGGGTCATTGCATTTTTTCATGTTGAGAAGGTAGACTGTGCTATTGAAAGGTTGCATGAAAATACTTTGCAGGTTACTGCACAATAAACAGGTTAGTTTGCTGTACTGTGACAGATTCAAAGTAAAGAATAGTGTGTCGGACTGGTGCACAGCAGTTGTGGTGCTCATGGTCAGTTAGGTACATAAAGGCTAGCAGTGATTAAGTTGAAGTTAAACTGATGATGTTGAGATTCATTCAGTAAATTCAGAATCAGAATACTTTGATAATTCCTAAGGAAATTATGTGGGTTACTGTTGCTCCAAGATAACAACAGTAACAGACTGAACTAATGAAATAATACAATATATTACAGTAAGAAATATAAGAAATAGCTCTAATATATATACAAATAGCTCAATTATAAATATCCAGAATATTACAGAGATTAAATATATAACAGACATTTACTCTAAACTGTAAAACGTTGTTATTTGTTATTTTACTGTAGAACATATGCAAAAGAGTGTGTAACTATTGCACTGTGTACTGTGCATTAGATGGAGGAGTTGTACAGAGATATTCACATGCAGGAATGATTTCCTGTGATGTTAAGTGGTGCATTATGGGTAATCTAAGTCTCCCACTGAACATGCTCCTGTGACTGGCCAGCACATCATGGAGTCAGTCGGAGGTATTGTCCAACATTGTCCTTGTCTTGGACAACATCTGCGTCTCCGAGTCCAGCTCCGTCCCCACAACATTACTGGCCTTGTCGTCAGTTTATTGAGTCTGTTGGCATCTGCAACCCTCAACCTGCTGCTCCAGCATGCAACAGCATAGAGGATGGCAGCGGCCACAACAGACTGATAGAAAATCCTGAGCACTGTCCAAAAGATGTTCAAAGTCCTCAGAGACGACTCTGACCCTTCCTGTAGACTGCAGTAGTGTTTTTAACCCAGTCCAGTTCATTATCTATGTGTACTTATCTATCTAGTATTTATAGTCCTCCACAATGTCTACATTGATCCCCTGGATTAAAACAGGGGTCACGGGTTTCCTGGTCCTCCTAAAGTCTGCAGTCAAGTCTTTGGTCATTGTCACATTGAGCTGCAGATGATTCTGCTCGTGCTATCTTCAGAAAACTTCTGAAGATGGCAGGTCTCTGTGCAGTGGCTGAAGTCTGTGGTGTAGTGGGTGAAGAGGAAGGGGGAGAGGATGGTCCCTTGTGGTGCCCTTGTGTTGCTGATAACCTTGTCAGAAACACAGTGTTGAAGATGCACACATTGTGGTTTTCCTGTTAGATAATCAACAATCCAGGACACAAGAGACACATCCACCTACATCGCTGTCAGCTTATCACCCAGAAGGATTAGTCTGATGGCATTGAATGCACTGGAAAAGTCGAAAAACATGACCCTCACAGTGCTCGCTGGCTGGTCCAGATGGGTGTAGACACGACTGAGTAGGTAGATGATGGTGTCCTCAGCTCCTCTGAAGTGAAGGGGATCCTGATGTGGTCTGACTATAGGTCGCTGGTCAAGGATGAGTCTTTCCAAGGTCTTCATGATGTGGGAAGTCAGTGCCACAGGCCTGTAATCCTGGGACCACTGGAACGTGGCGTCTTTGGTACAGGGACAAGGCATGACATCTTCCACAGCACTGGGACCCTCTGCAGACTCATACTCAACATGAACAGTTTATGAAAGACTCGACAAAGCCTTGAGAACATGAGGACTCACCCCGTCTGGTCAGCAAACTTGCCTGAGTGGAGTCTCCTCATTTGCCTCTGAACCTGGTCGTTAGTGTGATAGGTGGGGGAGGGGTGTCAGGACTCAAAAAGGAGGCAACGATGCAGTGTTGAGAGGGAGGGAGAGACAGTGGTGTGGCTACAGGCAAGTCAGTAGGGGGCTGAGCATTCACTGCAGTGTTGAATCCGTTGAAAAGCACATTCTACTCGTTGGCTCTGTCCTCACCACCCCCAGCTCCCCTGCTGTTGGATGGCTTGAATCCAGTGATTGTCTTTGTAACAAACCCACAGCAGACTCGGGTGCACCTTCATGCTTTGCAGCATCATTTATTTGCTGGTTGCTGTATACACACAGTTGGCTGCAGCTCTCTTTCGCTGCCAGCCACACACACTGACAACAACAACAGTACTGCAGGGCCCAGTACCATATTTAAGTGATTGCGGATGCTGTGCAGGTATGTCCACCTTCCCTGCATGACACCGCAGGCTATGCCCCACCACAGTCTTCATGCCACTCCACACCTCTCTCATGCTGTTCTGCTGTTCTGTTATTCAACCTTACCAGCTGTAGAGTGTATAATATAAAGCATAAACAGTGTACTGTCCGTGTAGAGGATGGAAATCAGCCAGGATTTACAAATCCTACCATGTGAATTCATGGATTTTTTTTTTCACATTCTGTCTCTCACAGTTGAAGTGTACCTCTGGTGCAAATTACTGACCTCTGTCATCATTTTAAGTGGGGAAACTTGCACAATCGGTGGCTGACTAAATACTTTTTTGCCCCACTGTATCTTGTTCAGTTCAGTTGTGTAAATCCTCAAAGAGCACTGAACATCCCTGTCCCTTTCACAGCTGGGGTTCCGTTCTGCCAAGACGAGCCATCGGAGTCTAACCACTAAATACATCTGTCTAACTTCTGTTCATCAATAAATCAATTCATTCTTTTAATTACATGTTCTTATTGAACTGATTTTAACAAATCTGCTTTAACCTCTTCCCTGCTCATTTTCCTGTTTATAGGCAAAATCAGCCACTACAACGCAGGCAACAGAAAACAGAGCTATGTTTTTATTTTGTTCCACTTAACTGATTCAAGCTGAGGAACTGTATTAGAATTAAAATTTAGACTGAAATAAAGTTGGTATTCTTATATACTAATGTTATTTTATCATGGCATTAATATAGCAAAGGATTCAGTTAGTTTTGCATAAAAATAGGTGGTAAAAATGTTCTTCAAGGAGCTACTTTACTTTCTTACTCTGAGTACATTTCAGAGCTGATAGTTTTTCATACTTGAGTAAAGAAGTTGAATTAGTACTTCAACTTTTTACTGGAGTATTTTTAACACTAGTATCTGCTTAAGTACAGAATGTATGTACTTTTGGCACCACTTCAGATTTGTTTGTTTATATCTGAAGGTCCAGCTGTCCCTGTTGGGGTGGACGTTCAGGTGGAGAGTTTGGACAGCATATCAGAGGTAGACATGGTAAGTATTTTAAATGCATTAAATGTAAATTTGCATTACACAAAATGTAGCTTAACAAGTATTTGGATAAAGTACCTGTAAGGCTGAATGTTTAATTGACACTGAAGTTTAAGAGACATGCAAAACTGACTGTGTTATCAGACATGTGACCCCATTCATTTAGAATACTGGAATAGTGATTATGGAAACTGCTGGTTCTTGTAGTGCACCCAGCATCTCGTCATCTAAATTTGTGGCACAAACGCAAAACAGTGCCAGTGCTGGTAGGAGACTGCTGTAGTAATGTCCAGATGTCTGGAGCTATATAAAAAAGTGGTTTCATTACTGCAATGAAGGAAGTGTGAAACACAACAGGTTATGGCAATAATCCCAACAGTCCACTTGGTACCTCAATTAGACACACAGCATAAGTATCATGTGCAGCCGGGGGCAAATTTTCAACCATGCCATAATCTTGCTAAGCAGTTCTTAGTGCCTAAAAATGAAACTAATCACACAACATAACACAAATTTAACACAAACACACAAACTGTCCCGTCTCACCAACTTAACGTGTTACAATGTGGACTTTAAACAGAGGGTCATTATCTGTGAGCACCCAAGCTTAACATGACTTGTGTGTCAAGCCTTGGAATTGGGGTAGATTTTATCTGCCAGTGCTTAATAAATATAGCATTGTCCAAGTCTAATTTATGAGAGACCATGGCTAAAATATGCTACGTGTAGGTAGAACAGGGGTGGCATTTTTACTCTTACATAAACTGCTGATCAGTAAAACATCCTTCAATAACTACTCCTTCATTAGGCTTAAGGTACTGGCTCAAAATGGGCATGTTTTAAATTTTTGTAATTAATTGTAATAAAAATTAATTAGGTGACACTAACACTTTGTGACAACCAACCTTGCTTTGGGGTTGGTTGTCCCCAGAGTTATCAATGAGATATCAGTAAAAATTGTGATTTTTTTTTTTTCTGATATCATCTGAGAGCCCAGCTTTGGCACACAGATTGACACATCAAAGCCATTCTTCCTTGGGCCAGCTACTGATATAAGGCTCAACACAAACCAAGCTGTTCTGTTCAGTGGAGGTGGGAGGAGCCAGGCACTCCTGTAACCCAGATAAGGTTGGAAGACAAACTTTGGGCAAACTCAAATTCCTGAAGATATCTCTATTTATTGGGTAGATGCCACTTACCCTGAACGATACTGGATGTTGGTAGGGGGTGCAGCTATTGGGAAGGAAATGGGCACAATCCTTAGAATAACATTTGGCAGCATCCAGGCATCACGGGCAGAGTTGACATACTTTTTAAAAGATCCATATTTTGACCCGTCCATGGGATTGAGTTTACGTGAGCAATCTGGAGGGAATAAAGGATATGATGCCCCCTCCCCCCCTCCCCACCTTCTGCTTCGTTCCACAAGTTATTCAATTCAAATCTGTATTTCAACATGATCTGCTCCTGGTTGTCAAAGAACATGCCAGAATTCTCCCTGTTGAAACTTGTAGTGCGTGCCAAGCTTGTGGTCTGTGGTGATCAAATGGCAAGAGTAGGGCAGTGTTTGAGGAAGCGACTAAACCAGTCTGCCTCGGCTTGACTGGTTTTACTCCAGGGCCCTATTTCAGAAAGCCGGTTTAGTGCAAACTCTGAGTAAGTATACGCTGAGTTAACGAAAACTCTGGGTTTTCGGTTTCACAAAGCGAGTTTAGATTAATTCTGAGCGAGTTACTATGACGACACACTCCGTGAAGCTAACCTGCCCCCTAGCAGGTTTACTTCAACTAACCCTAACTGTCCCCGCCTCTTTGTCGGAAACCTGACTGTAGGAAGTGTCAGACATGGCGTGCCCCTTCCTTGAATAGCCAGTAGATGTTGAAGCCCAAATTCTCCGCAGAGCTCTCCGCCGGGAGAGAGTGATCAGAGCGCGTTTGGACATTTTATCATTTCCTGATGATTTCCTGTGTGAACGTTACCGTTTTTCAGCACAATCTATAATTGATTTGAAGAACATCCTCAGGCCTAATATTGCTCATGTGACACATCGCGGACATGCTCTCAGTTCTGTACATATTATTTGTATTGCACTTCGGTTTTTTGCAAACGGGTGATGCTGAGCACGTTTCCAAGGCTACCGTCTGTCGGGCAGTCAGGAATGTTACAGTTGCACTGAAATGTCTTCTGTACTCGTCTGTGGTGTTCCCCGGTCATAGACCCACAAGATTTATCAAAGAGGGATGCCACAAAATTGCAGGTATCAGGATGAACGAAACTTAATTCATGATGTGGTGATACTTGGACTACTACTTAAATTTTACATTTATTCTCACGGTTCCCAGGCGTGATTGGCTGTATAGATGGCACTCACATTCCAATCATTGCTCCTTCAGTAAATGAAGGAGACTATGTGAACAGGAAGTCTTTCCACAGCATTAATGTGCAGGTACATAGTTCCCTGTAGCATTTCAAACTAACAAATTATTTCATTATAGTAATGGATGCTAATTTGTGTTCTCTGCACTGTGAAGATCATATGTGATGCTGCCAACATTATCACAAATGTGGAAGCCAAGTGGCCAGGCTCTGTGAGTGGTGGTGGTGGAGGACCCCCACCTGTTTTTCGGGCCTCCGCTTTTTTTCTAGTGGCCATAATGGGTCACATTTGAGCATACAGAGTAAGCAAATATGTACTTGTAATGTGCTCAGATAATTTCAATAAGTGCTTACAGAGGGGAAATTAATGTAGCCTCTAACTGCAATTGATTTACAAACAGACCAAGCACTATGGCTCATAATTCAATTACACCTTACCTGTTTGGACTATATTTTTATATTTCATTTTTACTTGCTGCCAGGAACGTTGGGGGCCTGTTGGGTTGCACCTGCGCTCAAATCACATCACAAAATAAAATATAATAAAATAACGTGTTAAATGGGTGGAAATCCCTAGATCAATGTTTAAATTAACACTCACGCATTGACTCTGTCGGCTATGTTTTGCCATGCATGCTCCCTTTCTTTTGCAGCTGAGGCTGTGTTACTTTTTTTCTGCAAAATTTGCATGTTATCAGCATATGCTGCCATCAGAATTTCGGCCTCAAGCGCTGTAAAATACATTGACCGCGCCTTCTTTCCCTCCGTCTCCATGGTGACTCGCTTAATCTGTGCTCCACTGATCAGGGCTTTATGTATCCTCGTGCGCGCGCTTAACTTGGGGTTAAAGCAACTCCACGTTGATTGAACTAATTGTTATCAGCCTTTCTGAAACCGAATATTCCGAGTTGGACAGTTCGGGGTTACTCAACCCTGAGTATCGTTTTTCACTCTGAGTTTTCTAAACCGGCTTCCTGAAATAGGGCCCAGGGTTTTGAGATTGTGACTTTCTGTGCCACTGCAATGTTGTATACACACTTATGGACTTTTTGTTGGTGCAAAGTCATATTAAATATCAGAGGCCTTAATGATGGAGCTTTCCAGTAGTTTTTCTTGATTAGTGCCGACAAACTGACAATTGTTTATGTGCCAACTTGCACATATGAAATAGTTTAATTCACTTCTTCTCGGTAGATGTTTTTTGGTAGTAACAGGTCAGTGTTCTGTAGTTCAATTCAATATTATTTATATAGCACCAAACTGATCCTAACCATGGCTTTACCTTATTATTAAGTGTCTAATACTGCCAAAGCTCTTAATAACAAAAACCAAAAACACACACAACAACACGTGAAATTACTCTGAATACCTCCTCAACTCGGTCTATTTTTGTTTTACAAAATGATCGCTGTAAAATGGACAGCTCGTAATGGTTAAATATGTGATATCAAAAAAGTTTCACAGTGCCTTCTAGTGTGGCAGTAATAAACAACGTGCCAACCAGCCCAAATCTGTCCTACACACTGAAAACAGTCTGAAGTACACAAGGCAAAAACTGTTTGTCAGGATTAATTTCAGCTGTATCTTTGGAGGTGTGTGACTTTAAACTGCTGTGCAGAAAGTATTGTTGGTATTTGCAAAGAGAACATGCACAACTGTGTGTAAGAAATGGAAACTGGATTTTTTTTAAACTGACCATATTGCACAAGCATTTCTGTAAATTAGTTACTCAACTGCTAATTGTGCCAGTTTTCAATGCTAAAAAGGCACGTCTTAATTTTTGAGCTTGATATTGCAGCAGTTACTGCTGTGTGGAAGAGGCATTGCAAAGGTTTAAGAGTGCATGCTTAGAAGAGTTAGACATCTCTCCAATTTATTTGGAATGTCAGATGAAGATGTTATAAAAGAAAATGGATTACCAAACTTCCTGATTTTAAATTTTCTCATTTAACTTAGAGATGACCTCCAACCAAAACAATACCAGCAGCAGTAAAACTTGTCCTGGTGGTAAATTTCATTGTTTGTGACCTTATGCTAAATAATGCAGCTCTTGGCATGTCATTTTGAACTAAAACTGACCACGCTTGTGTGTCACTTCACAATTTTAACAAACGGAGTCATTTCAGTCTCTGGGCCAGGGACAAGTTACTGCCCCAAGTGGAGTTTAAGTATCTCAGAGTCTTATTCATGAGTCAGGGAAGAAGGAAGTGGGAGAATAACAGATGGATTGGGACTATGGCTACTGTGATGCAGATGCTGCATTGGTCCGCTGTGATAAAGAGCATAATAACAAAGATTTACCAGTCAGTCTGCACTCTGATCCCTCAGCTGTGATCATACCTGGGTACTACCTGGGTGAGGTGTTTTGGGCATGTCCTACTAGAATAAGGGCACGGGACAGACCCAGGATATGCTGAAGGAATTCAATTTCTCAGCTAGCCTGGGAATGCCTCTGTGAGCGGGAGATGAGCGGGAGGAGGTGACTGGGGAGAGGGAGGTCTGGGTGTCCTTGCAACCCAGCCTGGATGAGTGGAAGAACATGAATGGATGGATGTAGTCACTGTCTGTCGTGTTTCATGTATATCACTGAACCCACTGTTAGACAACATAATATACTGTATATTTCTGGCCAGAGTTTACTTTTCATTGCTTAATGCAAGCCATTCAGTGTGCTTTAATGACAGCCATAAAGACAGAAAACATGCTCTGTAATACTCCAGCAGTTGCTGTCTAACACTCACTGTTATTAGGTAGCATTAGACACTAAATTATACCAGACTGTAGCAACAAAAACCCTCAGCACAGTATTCAGTGACATGAGAAATGTGCTATTTTGTTTCTGTTAAATCCAATTTTTAATAAATAAAAGACAGAAAATTCAATTTATTCTTACAAAGCAGTTTTGCTTTTGACAGAGATATATAAAAAAAAAACCATGAAGCAAAATTTTACATGACCCAGTATACCAGTATATGGGTTATTAAAACCATGAACTTGAAATATGCAAGAATACATACTTTAGATCTTTAAAGGTGGAATCATCTCTGATTAGTAGACACAAGTTATTAATCATGTGAAAGTCTCAGACATGCCCTTAAACTGGTCTTATGCAACATCAAAGGTACTTGTTCACTTGGTGCCAAGAGTACATGTTGCTACAGTCATTAGTCATTATAAATCTGTTGTTATATAATTGTAATACTATGAGAACAGGACAAAAGAGTATCTGTGGTGTGGAGGGGGGCATGCACGGGCGTAACCATTCCTGCCTGCAGAGCAACGTAGAGGATGAAGGAGGAAAAAAACGAGGGTATTCTAGGACCAAATGAAGCCTGTGGACTGTACTTGGTTAACATATGTTCAGCATTTTGGCTTACTGTACATTTATCTGTAAACAACTTCAATAATCCAGCAGCCACTGGCTGCAGTGATGTAATCCCAGGAAAAATTAAATAAATTAGGGATAGCAAGACCCTTTCATTCCGATGCTGTCTTCTTTCTCCCATTATCTCAGGACTTCACCATGACTCTGTACCTGAGGCACTACTGGAAAGATGAAAGGCTGGCATTCCCAAGCACTACAAACAAAAGCATGACCTTTGATGGTCGCCTGGTGAAGAAAATATGGGTACCTGATGTGTTCTTTGTCCATTCCAAGAGGTCCTTCATCCACGACACCACTACTGACAACATCATGTTAAGGGTCTTCCCAGATGGTCATGTTCTATACAGTCTGAGGTGAAGACAGGAAACAAATGCCTTGCAAGAAAGGGCCCCCTGTCTAGAGTTACTAAGGTTTATATTCTGCTTTAATTCCACAGAGTAACAGTTACTGCAGCTTGCAACATGGATTTTAGTCGTTTCCCTCTGGACTCACAGACATGTACACTGGAGCTGGAGAGTTGTAAGTATTCTTAGACCATGAGACTCCTTCTTGTGCTGCTATGCAGTGGGGGAGATAATAATTTTATCTGCTAAATCTCTAAGTTCACTCACAAAGAAATTAACAGTTTGAGAATGTCAACCAAAAATCCAAACCAAAAGTGGAGACTGGCTAGGCACCTCCATGATGTTAATTTGCTTCTTCTTTAGCCACTCCTTTGTTGCCTTGTGGTGTGGTTTAGGTGACTGTCATGCTAGAAGGACGGTGTCATCCAAGATTTGCGGTGTCAATGCAGTGAAGTCGTCATCTACCTTAGCAGAAAAAAGTCACGCAACATGATGTTTCCACATCTGTGTTTAACTGTGGGGAGGAGACTTTGGGTCATTCCCAGCATTTCTCTTTGCAAACACGGTTGATACCAAAGAACTCGATTTTGGTTTTATCTGACCACAGCGCTTTCTCCCCCGCCTTCTCTGAATCATTTAGATGTTCATGGCCAAATTAAGGTGGGTCTACACAGATGCCTTCTTGAGCGGGGGGACCTTTTAGGTGCTGTAAAATTTCAGTCCATTACAGTGTAGTGTATTATACTAATGGTATTCTTGCTGACTGTGATCCCAACTGCCTTCAGATCGTTAACAGACTCCTCCCGTGTAGTTTTAGGCCGATCCACCACCTTTGTCATAATCGTCTTCACCCCATAAAGTAAAATCTTGCATTGAGCTCCACTCTTCCATTTTCAAATAATTGCATCAACAAGTGTCACCTTCGCACCGAGTTTCTTGCTGATGGTCTTGTAGCCCTCTATAACATCATGCAGAGCTACAGCCTTGTTCTTCATATCCTTTGACAGCTCTTTGGTCTTGCCAGCTTTTTGGTTGATATTCTGTCTTTCTTCATTAAAAAGACACCATAAAAATTAGAGACTGTTTATTTTTGTGTAAATGAGCAAACCTACAACAAAAAGGGGCTTTGGTTACTAAATTATGAATTGATTATTAGTATTAGTATTAGTTTAGTTCTTATTTGAAACTTAGCCATCAGCAGAATACAAGCTTTTATTGAATTTATGAATTTGCTCTGTTTGCTTATCCAGGTCCAGCTATGTTCATTCAGATGACTGCTGTTTCCATTCCTACTTTCTGTCCTGCAGATGCTTACACAGATGAGGACCTGATGCTTTATTGGAAAAGTGGCGATGAGTCCCTGAGCACAGATGACAGGATTTCTCTGTCTCAGTTCCTGATTCAGAAGTTTCACACTACCTCCAGGCTGGCTTTCTACAGCAGCACAGGTTGAGAAGGAAAACAAACCCAGATTTCACTTACACATACATATTTTGTGTAATACTAGATTGGTCATTATTACAACTGCTCCACAAAAACCAAAGATTTAGGGGAAATAATCTGAAGTTGTTGTAAACTACCATATATGAAAGTCCCGTTTTAGCATCAACATTATGATTATCTGGGAGAGATTCTACAGTTAATTTCATGTTTAATCAGTAAACTAAGCCAAACTAAGTTGGGAGAGGTTTACATATTTCCTCTGATGTCTGCTGATGGCTCAGCCAGATCCAGCTATTACAGTCAGAAGTCATCCTGCTGACTGAGCTGAACCTCAGTGGGGCAAGTTAAAAAAAAAAAATCCCAAAACATGTTCATAGAGTGGAGGGAAAAAACTCTTTGATTCCTTGCTAAATTTGTCAGTTTGAAGACTTACAAAGAAATAAAAAAATATCTTATTTTTATGGTAGTTTCATTTAATGAAGAGCCAGAATATCAACAGAAAGATAAATAAACAGTGCAACACAATGCAAACATAACAAAGTTATAAATTAATTCGGATGTCTCTGAGTAAAATACATAGGTAAGTAATAAGTAGATTTCTGGTTCCCACAGGTAGGCTGTGTGCCCATGTGGCAAACAGATTAGAGTGGCTATCCATCAGTACATTAGTACAAGTGCATTTGCCTTGTCAAACCTAAAAATAGAAATTTATATGTTAAAACTTACCAAAGTAGAGCAATTTTCATCTCAGACAGTTCTGTCAAAAAGTCCTAGTCTATCAATTGATATGTACATCTGGCCCTTACATTACTGCCATCTTGTGGCCACAGTCAGATATTGCAGCTGGAAGCTGTGCATATTTCATCTCGTAGCAAAGTGTGTGTCTCTTAGGGCATGTCCATCTCCCAGTAACAATGACTGGAGCTGGCTAGGCTGAGAGGCCAGCAGCTTTATTCTGGTGGTTTGCACATGTGCATTGTGGATAAATCTCTGGTCCTTGAGAGAGGAGCACGCGAGGCTCAGCTTTTAGTTCAATTAAGTTTTATTTCTATAGTCCAAAATCCCAACAACAGTTGCCTCAAGGAACTTAAGACTTTTGCTGCTCTTAGATCAATTTCAATGTGTTATGGAAACTCAGCTAGCATTAGCAAGTAAATAAGATTCAGTGATTTAGCAGCAGAACAGATAAGTTTGCAGTTGCTAACCACCTTCATTCAATTCAATTCAATTTCATTTATACAGCACCAAATCACAATAACAGTCGCCTCAAGGCGCTTTGCATTGTAAGGTAGACCCTTCAATAATACATATAGAGAAAAACCCAACAATCATATGACCCCCTATGAGCAAGCACTTTGGTGACAGTGGGAAGGAAAAGCTCCCTTTTAACAGGAAGAAACCTCCGGCAGAACCAGGCTCAGGGAGGGGCGGGGCCATCTGCTGCCACTAGTTCTTTCTTAAAAGTAGAGATAGTGTCTGTCTCCTGAATCCAAACTGGAAGCTGGTTCCATAGAAGAGGAGCCTGAAAACTGAAGGCTCTGAGTTCCATTCTACTTCTAAATAACCACCATGCCTAACATGTATGATGCAGAGAAGATGGACTGTGATAAAGTTGCTAATAATCATCTCTGCTTGCCTTTCTGTAAACGCCACCACACAACACTGCAATCAATCAATTAATTACAGAAACTCCTCTTTTCAACTTGTTATGTTTATAAAGCACATGAGAAGAAGCAATTTCTTCCATTCCAACCTAAGGAAAGATCAAATAGCTTTCAAGAGCTTTTAATTGTTAATTGATTGTTAATTTCCTCATGTTCTGTCATTTTACCTTGTTTTTTTCTGTTTTACCTCTAACACATAAAGCGAAAAGTATATTGTGTTTTACTTATTCCTCACTTATTCTATCTCCAGGTTGGTACAACCGTCTGTACATCAACTTCACGCTGCGGCGTCACATCTTCTTTTTTCTACTGCAGACCTACTTCCCTGCTACTCTAATGGTGATGCTGTCCTGGGTGTCCTTCTGGATTGACCGCAGGGCTGTCCCTGCCAGAGTCTCATTAGGTAAGAGGATCTGCATCATTGTAACCTGCTAAAACTGAATATGTTTCCTAAGGACATCAGATGTGAAAATGTGAAAATGGAAATCAGTTAGCTCTTTTTGGCCATTAAAATGACCTTCTGTTGTAGTTCATTGACTGCTGCGCTAACAAGACCTTGTATGCTCTTCAGGTATAACTACGGTGCTCACCATGTCCACCATCATTACTGGAGTGAATGCTTCCATGCCCAGGGTCTCCTACATCAAAGCTGTGGACATTTACCTCTGGGTCAGTTTTGTCTTCGTCTTCCTGTCTGTGCTAGAATACGCTGCCGTAAACTACCTGACAACTTTGAGGGATGGGAAAGACCGCAAACTCAGAGAAAAGGTTAAGGAACAGGTACAGGCACCTTTTTCAAAACTCACACATCTCAAACAGTGATCAAACCTTTTTAATTATGATTCCTTTTGTCTATTTCACCTAGTCCCGGACACTCCCTTGCACATGTGGCATGCCCCATACCAAGACCATGATGCTTGATGGGACATACAGTGAGGAAGATGCCAACAGTCTGGCGGGATACACAAGAGCCTCGATGGTTGCCGAGGACATATCAGATAAACAGGAACAGATGGTAGTGCATCTGTCTTTGGACAACGAGTCCACTGGCACCAAGAAGAAGGGCATCCGTGGCTTCCGGATCATTCAGAACACCCACACCATTGACACATATTCTCGTATGATTTTCCCAGGCTCATATATCCTCTTCAACCTGATCTACTGGTGTGTGTACTGTTGAGAATTTTAGCTCAAATTGTAGTAGTGAAAGAAAATTACTGTGAAACCATTCTGTGGGACGTAAGCCTGAGGTTTACCTGTTCAAGTTTGCCAGGATGGCCTATCAAAGACATCTGGGAGTGAATACTACCCATTTCATTGTTGGACTGGACATTCGATATAGCTTATTTTTTAATTTTTATTAATGAATCCTTTATTTATCCAGGTAAAAATCTCACTGAGATTCAAAACTCATTTCCAAGAAAGACCTGGCATCATGGCAGCAAAAGACCTGTTCCTGCCTCACAAGCTAATATGTACCCAAGTCACGCTGAGAGAAAACTCATGGGGCTGGTTGCACATTCACTCTAATACAGCGGTCCCCAGCCCCCGAGCCACGGTCCGGTGCCGTGAGCCGTTTGGTACCGGGCCGCAAGAGTTGAGGCTCGGGTGTGAAATTTATGGTCTTCAGGGCTTTTATCGGTTTTTATTGTTATTTTTTATAGTTAACTCGGTTTCCCTGGGTCTTTTCCCGTGTGTTATGAATAAATCTTCTTTTTTGGTACTGGTACTGGTTTTATTTTGTTGTATTTATCTGTGACACCTTGAAGGCCAGTCCATGAAAATATTGTCAGACATAAACCGGTCCATGGCGCAAAAAAGGTCGGGGACCGCTGCTCTAATAAACAGGTTAATCATGAGCCTAAAAAGCTTGCTACAGCACCCTAAGGGTAACAGTGGTGATACTTTTAGCTCTTTCACAAAGATGTCAGTTTCCTGGATACATTCTTGTTTGCATCTTGTTCTGTTTTATGGTAACTTCAGCAGAAAGTTTCATCTACAATCTCTCACCACTGAATTTTGTCCTTGTTGGTCTTTCAGTAATATACAGTTTCAGCTTAATAAATAGAACTTAGCTCAGTTTACAAGTTTACAAATAATCTAAGTGGTTTATTCCACCTCAAATGTTCATTTGGACTTTTTAAAACAGACTGTTTTCACAGCAGATATTTTGGCTTGTAAAGATTAAGTACAGGTGTAACACATACCATGAAAAACTATTTTTATTCCATTTAGGTGAGCAAATTTCAGACCTCTGCCATTCATGCTGGCTCACATATAAACCTTAACTCAACTACCTGATGGAACTGCACTATCTGCAGTTAAGGTACTTTCACTTGTGATTATCAGATATGTCAGATTGTCTGACATGAGTGAAGTTTGATGGACTGATATTCTATTCAATTTTATTTTGTTCACTCTGTCTAACATGTGTAACTTAGTTGTTTACTATTAGTAGCAACGGTCTATCCCTTTGTTACCAAGTCAACATGATAACTGGGGTAACTCTTGCTAAGAACTCTTGCAATATACTCTGTGGGTAATAATATGGTTGTTTTCTGTTTCTATTAAATTCAATTCTACTGTATTTATATAATCCCAAATTACAAAAACAGTTGCCCCAAGGCATGTTATGTTGTTGGGTATAGACCCTGCAAAAAAATCTGTTTTCTATTTTTTTCAATTTGTCAAGGTTTTTCACATTATTTTTCACAGTTTGATCTGTAAAACATATAAGCACATTTTCTGCAATGGTTTAGTATTACTGACCAGTGAATCAGTGAGCAGCTAGGTCCCAATATTTAAATATCATTTGTGGAAAGAAACATTTATTCATTTTCTTGTGATTTGTTGGAGTTGCTCTTCATTTAGATGGAAGTTTAACCTGCAGATTTTGCACAACAAAAGTACTTTTGGACAGTTAAATCTAGCCTGTCTCTCTGCAACCAGCCCCTGTCCAGGCTTCCTGGAATAACACACTTCAACCTGAACCTCTCAACTGTCATGACTAAAAAGATTAAGAGAATATAATTTGGCTGCTATTGCCTCTGTAGTCATTGGATTTGACTGAGTCATGTATCTGAATTTGTCCAAAGCAGTTGGAACTTTAAAAGTACTTTAAAAGTACAATTCATTACTGTTGCTGAACAAAGTATTTTGATTATCTATTTATAGGATTTCTAAATTCACCACATTTTATTTGTTTAATGTTTTATTATTTATTTGCACCAGTATTGGATCCATGTGTCATTGCAGGCAAGTTGCAGGAAACAGGGCTTACACAGAAACTGGTTGGTGAATGCTGCAAGACATGGAATATAATATCTTCCTATATGTATTTTTCTTAGAAAGAACTTTAAAACATAGAAAGCTTTACCAGTGATGTAATCAACTTGAACCGCCTTAAGTGAACATTGTTTTCATGTACATATTTTGACAAGATAGATTTTTTGTTTTTAATTAATTTCAGAGCAATGATTGACATTAATCATGTAGGTAACTAGAAGTTAACATTAGACTGATTGTGCTATGATGTGTGTGAATTCATCCATCACAACACTACTGTATTTTAAGCAGATAGTTCCTACAAAGATACAGTGAGTAAATTATTGAACACTTCACCAATTTTTTAAGTAAATATGTCTCTAAGGTGCTACTAACATGAAATTCTCACTAGATGCCTGTAACAACCCATCCAATCCTTACATGCAAAGAAATCCAATAATATGTGTCCATAAATTATGCATAATCATGAGAAATGACACGTGGGAAAAGTATTGAACACATGAACAATGGGAGGTGCAAGAAAGCCACGTAAAGTGATGACACCAGCTGAAATCTATCAGTTATTAGAAAGCAATCCTGCCACCTATTGCAAATTAAGATATTAAGAAATTACAGATACGCTTCCCAACCCCCTGAGCCACGGTCGCCCGATAGTCTGGACAAATGAGACCAAAATTGAACTTTTTGGATGCCATAGTACACATCATGTTTTGAGATCAACAGGCAATGCATATACCCCCCCAGTTTGGAGGTGGGAACATCACGGCGTGGGGATGTTTTTTATCATACGGCATTGGCACGCTTCACATAACTGAAGGAAGAATGAATGGAAGCTGGATATCTCAGGAAGACAATATTTTCTTTTTCTGAAACCAGCTGAGTTTCCTTGACTGTGTGTTTGGGATCAAAGCTGCTAGAATGATCCAGTCAATAACCTGACCTGAATCCAACTGAAATCCTATGGCGAGAACTAAAGCTCAGAGTTCACAGAAAGGGCCCGCAGAACCTTCAGGATTTGAAGACTGTTTGTATGAAAGAAACTCACCTGAGCAATACATGCAACTTTTCACCTCCTGTTTCTCCATACAGGAGGCGCCTTGAAGCTGTCATCACCACCAACAGCTTTTATAAATACATTTCAGTAACCATGTTCAATACTTTTTCCCTGTGTCATTTTTCATTTTACACATAATTTATGACATCTGTGGTTTGATTTCTTTAGCTCAATTCAATTCAATTTTATTTATATAGCGCCAAATCACAACAACAGTCGCCTCAAGGCGCTTTATATTGTAAGGTAGACCCTACAATAATAGGGTCTACCTTATTATTGTCTACCTTGTGTGGATTGAAATGTGTTATTACCAGCATCTGGTGAAAATTGTATGTCAATAGCACTTTCAGAAATATATTTACTTAGTAAACTCATGACTTGTTCAATAGTTATTTTACGTGCTGTATACATTTCTGACAGATATACAGTTTGACAGATTAGTTCTTTTATTTATTTACATAATTGGTTTAGCTTAGCATAAAGCAAAGGTACGTAAAATAGCAAACCTAGTTCAAGTTGGTGTTTGTACATTTTTATTCTGGTACTCCACTCCAGGGTACTTTTGCATGATTCACACATAAAGAAAAATCCTCATTTATAGTGGGGTAAAAAACATTTAAGTTTGCTCATTTACAACAGGCTCTAAAATGTATGGTAGTTTAATTTTATCAGCTGATGTGCACGTCATTGAGTAAAATAAGTATTTGATTCTCAAGCAAAACATGACTCATTAATTGGTGGAAAAACCCTTGTTGGCAAGTACAGTGTTAAGATGTTGCTTGTAGTTGGTGACTAGGTTTGTACTTATCTCAGGATTTTGGCCACTCCCCTTTACAGAAACTCTCTAAACAAGGGTGGCTGTGGCACAAGACGTACTAGTTGCAAGCAATGTGGTTCGATCCCTTGTTACTCCAGTCTATATGCCAAAGTACCCTTGGGTAAGATACTGAACCCAGAGTCCTCCAATGCGGTTAAGAGTGGGAGGGATCATTGTAGTTGCATCATACAATTTTTTTTCTTCAAAGATGGTGGGTTGAGTTGAAGCCAAAAAAAATCTATTTTGGTTTTATTCTGACCACAGCACATTCTCCCAAGCCTTCTCTAAATCCTTTAAATGGTGTCTTACAAACTTAAGATAGGCCTACACTTCCTTGGTCTCTTGTGTTCTGGGGGCCTCTGGATGTCTGGAGTTTTGATCTCCTCCATACCCGCTTCACACCCTGGAGGACGGGGCTGTGGCCCCCCCCACTCCCTAGCAGATCATTACATGGAGAAACCTTTGGAATGCAAGCATGCTGATCCACACAGGTATGCACACATGGGTATTCACAGACGCGGACTAAAGCTTTCTTGGCTGCTGCCTCAAAGCACACTGTGCGCTGTCTATCTTGCGTGCTGCACAATATCGTTTATTACTTAGTAAATACTGATATCTATGACTAGCTAGTTTATTGTGATGGTATGGTGCTTTGTTTTCTCTATTATTATGTTGCTCTTTGTTGTTTGCTGTCTCCTCTGTTTGTTTTTGTTTGTTTGTTTGTTTGTTTTTTTTCTCCATACAGGTGACCCAGGAGTTTTTTTTTTTTTTTTTTTTTTTTTTTTTGTCTCTCTTCCCCCCCCCTTCTCACCGTCTCTTCTCCCCTTTGGTTTTCTTTTCTTTCTCTCCCCCTCTCTCTCTCATTCATTCCCCCTGTCCTATTTATTAAAAAAAAAAAAAAAAAAAAAAAAAAAAAAAAAAAAAAAAAAAATGACAAAGGATGAACTGAAGCTCTGCCATCACGTAATGTCGCATACTGCTGTTTCTGATGTCATTTAGAAAAAAAAAAAAAAAAAAAAAAAAAAAAAAAAGATAGGCCTACACGTCTGCATTTTTGCATAGGGGCACCTTGTGAGCACAGCAAAATTTCAAACCATTATCGCATAGTGTGTTACCAGTTGTGTTCTTGGTAACTGTGGTTCCAACTGCCTTCAGATAATCAACAAGCTTCTCCTGTGTAGTTTGGGGCTGATCCACCACTGTAGAGGCTGAGCCCACGCTTGAAGCCACTGAGATGTTCGTTGGCTGGGGTGACGCGATGCCACTGTTATGAATGAAACTTATCACAGTCCGATAACTCCAGCCGTACTTATCTTGTTCGTTTAGAATCTTTATTCCACTTCCCTCTGTTGTATTTGATGTCAACAGTTCTCTTTATCCAACACCATTTATCATAAACCGTTTGCTCCTTCTGAACAACAACACACCTGCCGCTAATTACGTGTGTCTACCCTAAATACATTCCCGTCAACACACCGTATCGTAAAACACAAAAGGTAACCCCTAATGGCATACATAATGTACCAACACAAAAAATGGCTCCACTTTCTCATGATCACCCTCAACCCACGAGCCAAGACTTTGCATAGAGAGCAAGACTGAGTGCAGCTGACGGTCATTTTATATTTTTCTATTCCTCAATAATGGCATCAACAGTTGTCACCTTCTCACCAAACTTCTTGTTGATGGTCTTGTAGCCTGTTCTAGCATTTTGCAAGTCTATAGTCCTGTTCATGGTGCCCTTTGACAGCTCTTTGGTGGAGCGGTTAGAATGGAAATTGAAGGAACCTGATTTTGTAGACAGGTGTACTTCATACATAGTTGACATCAGGAATATCTTTAATTGATTGATTGGTTGTAATTTGTGGAATTTTGGTTGATATTCTCTCTCCATTAAAATAAAACTTCCATAAAATTAGAGACTGTTTATTTGTTTGTAAGTGAGTGAACCTATAAATACAGCAGGTAATGAAATCATTATTTCCCCCACTGTCGGAGAATTGTATGTACACTGTTTATAACACATTTCAGTTTCTGTTCCTTGAAACCTGAAAATGTGAGCCAGAAATAGTAAGGTAAACATAACCTTTTATATATATTTACTTGTATATATTTATACTTACCTGGCAGGGGAGATACCATGATCACGAAGGTGGCTCACCCAGCACTGCGGTTGTGCTGACCCCTGTGAATTCCCCAAATGCGGGAATCTCAACTGCATAATTTGTGGTAGTGGAGGACTGCGTTCGCGCTCTCCTCTCACTTTTTTTTAAACAAATTTCCCACGCATGGGACTAATAAAGGTTATCTTATCTTATATACTTATATTGTTACCTCAGAACTTGAAACATTGGTCACACTTAATTTGAACCTATCTAGGACGGGGAGATACATCTAGGTCCCCTTTGATTAGTACTCGGACTGTTAAAACTACATTTGCTGTAGTCTGTTCATTTTGTCTTCTTTTGTTCAACTTAACATTATGATAATGAGCGTTGTCTGTTTGTGAATGGATTTACTTAGTTTTGCTTTACCAGTCTGTAGAGAGTGGCAATTCTTTCTAATACACTGTTAACTTCACCTTGTCTTGGAAGAAGTTCTGTGAAGTAGCAGTACAGAGGTGATATCAATTTTCAGGTGATTGTAATGAAAACAATTTTGGAATCAATATTTTTAATAAAATGTGACATGAAAGAATGAAGTAGCAGGGAGAAAAAAGTATAAGTATCTGAGAACTGTACTTGAATACAGAGCTTGAATAAATTACTGATACACAATGCATCACTGATCCCATTGCAAGGCTGATCATATCAAAACATAGACACTAACATTTATATTCTTTCCAGACTCTAACACTGCTTTGTTTGAGCTCAATTGCATGACTGTTTTTTGTTTTTGTTTTGTTTTGTTTTTTGTTTTTTTAATTATCATTTCTGTATTTGATCTTATCAACTTTTCTTTTCTTTCTTTCTTTCTTTCTTTTTTTCTTTTTCTTTTCCTTTTCCCCCCAATAACACACAAAAATGTTTTTAATGAAAAAGGCAAGCACCCTTACAGTCAGTTTCCAGACGGATGCCACTTATTCCTTGATCTTTGGAAAATTATTTAGAATGTAATGCTTTTGCAGCAATTTTTTTTTAAAATTGTGTGAAAGATAAACTTTAAAGTCTTTCTTTCACACATTATACTGATGCCTAATTTATAGCTATGGATAATCAGTCTAACCATAACATTCAGTCTCAGGATTTGTTAATTCATCATTACCTGAGAGGCCTGAAAATCAGAATCAGAATCAGAATCGGAATACTTTATTCATCCCGAGGGAAATTAGGGGTTACAGCAGGCAGCACGCTAATGGCGCATGCGCACTCACAAAGTAAAGCAGGTTTATTTCAAAAAAACAAAAGAAAACAAAAGCATAGCTCCCAGGAATACTGTATAAGATGCAATCTTCCTGTGTGACCCACTTTGAACTTTAATCCATGTTTCAGAGAGTACTGTGTGCTCACCTAATCCTCCAATACACAAATCACATCAGATTTACCCTTGCTACCACTACTTAAATCACATTCCTGTAGTAGGGCAACTTCTGTTCAGTTCAGTTTTATTCATACAGAACCAAAGCACAAATGCAGTTGCCTCAAGGTGACAATTGATTGCACACTCTCGTCTGTGTTGTTTATTAATGTAGCCGCTGCTTGGGGTTAATACTGACTCACGCTCCACAATGTCTGGCCATAATTTATACCCACCAGCCTTAAGGACTTATTGTCCTAAGAGGACATCTGTGCTGTATGTAGGGTACATTTGCAAATATTTAGAAAAAATGAAAAGAAAAAAACCAAACATGATAAAGTTTTACAAATTCCTGTATGCACAAAGGCACTGGGTTTGGGTGGTTTGTTCAGATTTGAGTATGAAATGATGTGATTTTAACTAAGCATAACGTAGATGTTTTTGTTTGCTTTGTTTTGTTTTTAAATAAAAACATTGCACAGTAGAAATGACTAACAATCTTATGTAGAATAACCCTTATGTAGAAACTGGGAAACAAAATGGTTATGAATTACATGATTGCTGTCTCGGACTGTAGTGATGTGTCATGTCATTAAAAGTATCTGCATGACCTGATACCACCGCGAGCTCAAGATCAACACAAGCTTTCAGGGGGGCTTTCAGGTGGTGAGAGCTTTCAGTGGGCTAAACTAGATTAACCCCAGTGTAATAACAATTACACTGAGTTCTCTTCCCAGTAATTAATGACTAATCTGCCTTTCCCTCCTTTATCAATCCCAGCTTTAACTCTTCCACCTTTACTTCCTCCCTTTGCAATCCCACTTCAACCCCAAGCCTTTCAAGTTCAACCTGCAACACATCCATCAACCCCCTCCTTCATACTATACTTGGCACATCTGTCACTATTCCCTCTGTCACTATTACCAGTTATTAAGGAGGGAGGAGGGTCATGAGGAACAAGCAAAGCCACATGAATAGCCTTACACACTGTAACCTATGCAGTCCATGACCTCCCCTTCAAGACCCTACTTGTGTGAGTGGCATGTTGTATGTCCAGAACCACTGGACCATATAGCATGTACAGTTATGTGCAAAATAATAGCAATGTATTTAAAACAACAGAGGAAAAGTTCCACGTTACTTCCATAGCATTTAGCATTCCAGCAGCATTTATTTCCATGTATACAAAGGAACTGGGAGCCGTGCACATTCAATCCCAAATGAAAACATGAACAATTTTGTCTGTTCTTCTCTTCTTCTTTTTTTAACTGAAAATGAAGAAAAACAATGGGTTGTTTAAAAAAATTTAATTTACAAACTGGAATATTTACAGTATAAACTGAAAATAAAATGAGGATTTTGCTTTTTCTTTAAGCACTGATTATTTAGTTGTATAACCATTATTTCTGGTCACTGCTTTGCATCTGTGTGGCATGTAGTCAACTAACATTTAACACCTAGAAACAGAAATTGCAGCCCAGGCTGACTGGACTACAATCCACAGATCTTCTGCATTTTTGGGTTTTGCATCAAAAACAGAATTTTAGAGGTCATTCCACAAATTCTCAATCGGATTGAGGTCAGGAGAAGGGGCTGGCCACTTCGCGACATCAGTCTTTTCGGTCTGCAGCCAGGATGTTGCCCGCTTGCTGGTGTGTTTGGGGTCATTGTCCTGCTGAAACACCCATTTTAAGGGGATTTCTTCCTCAACATAAGTAGAGATGGACCGATCCGATATTACGTATCGGTCCAATACTGACCTAAATTACTGGATTGGATATCGGAGAGAAATAAAAAATGTAATCCGATCAATTCAATATCACAAAAGCACCTCACAAAACTTGCAACATAGCAACCCAGCTCATAACCTTAGCATGTCGGAGGAGTATGCATCTCGTGATAGAGCGTCTGTGGCGTGTGAGACCTGGTCTGGTTCAGCATTTGGAGCCTCGCTACGTGCTTCCAAACCGGCATTTAATCTACGAGAAAGTTATCCCAGAGAAGTAAAGCAAGTGTGTAAGCTCATCTCAGAATGTTTGAGTTGGCAATTTGTCTTAATTTTGTCTTTGTCTTAAACTTTTTGGCTTAAAGTGACAAACTCCAACGATCTCAAACATCCTACTCATCATCCTCGTCTACATTTTCATGATCATAATTTTTGCGCATATGATTGATTATTACCGAGTTATGTAATATCATAATTTCATGATATTCATGAAAATAGAAAATTAACTTTTATTACTTCCGTTACAATTTCCTGAGGCATAAATCATTTGACACGGGGGCCATAAAACATTGGTTTGACACGAAGTAGGTAATTTCTCTCTCTTCCATCTATATAATAATAAATATAAAAATATACAAGACATCCAAACAAAGTTCATTTTATTTTTATATTTAAACAGTAACAAAAGTCAGCAGCGGACCAGCTTTCTCCTGCCACTGATGCGTGTCCACAGGGTTCGAGCTGTCTGGGCAATGATCAGTCCACGGGGCAGGCGGAGGCTCTTCAAAGGCTCCCTGATACAGGCCAGCACTCCTGGATGTGTGGGCTGCCCCAAGTACTCGTGGGAAATGTAGTTTATTCTCCTCAGCTGTTCGCCATAATAATTCCTGAGGTCGCAGAGCTCCTCAGCTGCTGTGTCAGAGATGATGGAGGTCTGGGAAGGAGAGCTAGGCACAGTGATATGGGTGGATGGACAGGGAACATGCCCTGTGGCTGCTGCTGTGTGAGCACAAGCTTTCCTTCGCATTCTCTGAGGGGTGCTGGATTTGCAACTGGAACAAGGTTTATCTGAATGTGACGGTGTTTTCTGACAATCACTGATTCCTACATGATGTACTCTGTTCATTTCAACATCCGCCTCAATTATATGTTGAAATATGATAGGTTTATTCTTCTTTTCCTCTGCCTTCCCATATCTGTCCGGTCTCGCCATCTGCTTGTTTGTCTGGCTGACTGGCTTCAGGTCTTGTCTTCTCGATACGTTCCTCTTTTCTTTAAATATTATCTGTTTAGGTTGTGGGGGACAGCTGTCCTCCACAACAGTGGAGTCTAAGGTCATATTGACATCCTCTTCATTCACTTTAACAGCTGAGGTGTCCTGTAAACATGAAATTCAATGTTAGTGAAGTCTTCATTCTGGAATAAGCCACTGGATGTACACAAAGAGGTGAATGTGTCAAAATAGAGAAACTTAAAGTATCATGTTCATAAAGTGTATACAGCAACAGAATATTTAACCTACAAGTAACCAGGAATGTGTTAGTTTGATGAAATGTTAGCGAGAGCTTGGTGAAACATGCTTCTTAGTGTAAAATCTGAATATTTAAGATTTTACACTAAGCCCAACAGGCGTGGGCGAGAAAATATAATCAAGATAACCTTTATTATGCCCAAGGGGCAATTTGCTTTGTAGCCAGCTGCATAAATAACACATCCACCCAAAATTACATAACAGAATTTCAAAAATGAATAGTGGTAGGGACGAATGAGAATTTAAATCTGTTTGTTCTGCAACGAGGCAAGAAATACCTCCTCCCTGAAGGCAACAGCTGATACTCTTAAAAAAAAAAAAAAAAAAAAAACAGAGGGTGTCATAGCACCCTGAATCTGTTCTGACTTCAGGGTCGCCCTCCCTTTATGCATGAGGGCAAGATCATTTAGCTGCCACTTTGCTACACAATTTAAAAATGAGCTCCAGCCTTTTCTTATTTTTCCAGGCTAAGAGACCCAAACCAGCAGATTAAAGAAAATGAAAACAGACTCAATAAAACAAGAACATTTTCATAAAAAATATTATCCACATTAAAACCACTTAGTTTCCGATACAAATACATACGCTGGTGAGTCTTTGCACATATGGTGTCTGTAATCACATCAAATTTAAACTTTTAATTAAGTATGGTGCCCAGATATTTATATTTCTCTATCCCCTCAATTTCTTGCCCATGAATACAAACAGGGTTAGATGACATTTTTTATTTAGAAAAAATCAACAACCATTTCCTTTATTTTAAACACATTAATGTCAAGAAAAGACTGTCCACACCATGCTTACAAAGTCATCTACAACTGGGCCACAGTCACAATCTGTATCGTGGAGCAGAGAGAGACGATAACGGAGTCGTCTGCAAACTTGACTATATGTCCGTCCTGGTAGAGGCTCTGACACTCATTTGTATAAAGAACCAAAGTGGAGAAAGGACACACGCTTGGGGGGAAACAGTGGAAGATAAAAGCACATCTGATAAAATATTGTTGACTCTCACTTTCTGAGGTCTATCTGTTAAAAAGTCAATAAGCCAAGAAATCAGTCCAGAATCAACATTAAATGTACGGATGAGATGTCTTGCTAAAATATGGGGCTGAAGACAAAAAGCAGGCAATAAAAGTTTGCTACACCATCCATGTGCTTCAAAACCATATAGAGCAAGGTGCACACAGCATCCTCTACCCTACCTATTACCTGTTCTATAGGGGGTGAGGAGGTGTAATTTATCCTGAGTAGCATGCAAAAGCTCATGTTTTACAAGCTTCTCAAAAGTTTTCATCACCATGGAAGTCAAAGCAACAGGCTGAAAATCAGGATTTTAAAAATGCGGTAACAAGTAACAGTGTTCATAGCACCATGCATACACAAGCAACTGTGAACAGAGTAGGGAATGATGAACTGTACTTTGTAAACTTGTCCTCTGGGCAGGTGAGAGAGGGCTATGGGAGATGTGTCTTGATTTTCTTGGACACAGTGGCATCTCCACAGCTCTGAACTGATCTCTTTCCCTCTTTGGATTTGCCCTTGCCACTGGAGACTTTTACCTGCAGGTCATTAACAAAAGTGCTTTATCCGAATAGGTTCACACCAATGTGGAATGTATGAGTCGACACTAGAAGGGGAGGACATGCAACAATCCAGGACAGAATCTGATTCAGTGCCAAAACAGGAAACCGTGAGATCTCAGAACGGTACTGCTGTAAAGATCTAATTTACAACCCCATTTCCAAAAAAGTTAGAAAAGATCCTCTGCATTCAAGTATTAAGTATTTCAAGTCTGAGGAGTTGTAGCTTTCTATATCAGTGTGATTTGTCCACCATCATTGTTTATATAAACACAGATCCCTCCTCCCGTTAAACGGGAAAATCCACTTGTTAGCTTTAATGTTCGGGTGTGTAGAGCACTGTAAAGCAAAGAGGACTGTGCAGAGGAGAGCATATTTTAGTTGGCTAGTTCTGTGAGTGTAGCTGTTGAATTGAAGAGTACATTGACAAGTAGTTTTACTTAGTTTATTCATAAAAAAAATTAATTATCTTTTCTGAAGCAATTATATTTTTTTTGCTAATTTTTTTTTTTTTTGATAATGCTTGGAAACTCCAGGAAGAGAAGCAGCTGAACATTTTTACTGCAACCAATTTTTAGGACTATTTACATGTGGCATAAATAATACATGCAGAAGTTTATGTCCCGAACAGAAGTAATGAAAGTCATGCATTTTTCTGTGTACCCTGTACCCATACCATTGACCTGTTTAACCCTTTTATAACCCATTTATATTAAATAGCTTTATTTCCAATTCAATTCAGTTTTATTTATACAGCGCCAAATCACAACAACAGCACACTTTATATTGTAAGGTAGACCCTACAATAATACGGATGACCTGATATCGTCGTGTTGGTGTTGTTCCCACATCATCACAATAAATGTTGTTCCGGGTTCAACATTGCAAGTGACCAATCACATAGTTGTGACGTCATGCTTTTGCGACTACAACACGAGGATATCAAATCGTGCCAATAATACAGTACATACAGAGAAAAACCCAACAATCATATGACCCCCTATGAGCGAGCACTTTGGCGACAGTGGGAAGGAAAAACTCCCTTTTAACAGGAAGCAGGAAACAGGAAAACCTCCGGCAGAACCAGGCACAGGGAGGGGCGGGGCCATCTGCTGCGATAGGTTAGGGTGAGAGAAGTAAGACAGGGATCTAAAAGTGTTTATTTTGACTAGAGTGTCCTTATGACATTTTTATTCACTTAGAGCTTTTAAATAGAACATAAATGGTTTATTAGGCTCTTTTGGATTAGTTACTAATAAAAAAAATATTCCAAACAGTACAGTGCAGTCTGCTCACTCTGATCTGTTTGTGCTGGCACTCAGTCTGATTGTAGCTGTAATATCTTACAAATTGGAAATGTTTGTTCAAACCTGTTGCAAACAAAGACAGTGTGATGTACTAACTAAAGTGAGTGTTTTAAAATTCAGGCCTAACTACACCCAACTGTGACATGAAAACAGATGTGATTTGTAACTTACTTTGTAGTTAGGGTTAGGTGTTATACTAAAAAACTCTCCTAAATGATGGTAACAGAAGAATATGTTTTTTCCTTCAAACTTACCAAAGCAGTTCCGGCCCCTGCATCTCTCATCTTCACGCTCAGTGTGTGTGTCGGGTTCTTCAGCAGAGAAGCTTTGCGGCCCAGCTTCATGTAGAAGTAGGTGGTGTAAGGTGTGAAGCTGAAATCCTCTCTGAGGTCAACACATTGGGAAGAACTCTGTGTCAGACAGACTTAATGGTCACAGGATCAGAGCTTTATCTTTAATCCCATGAACTAGAGACTTACACAGCCTGATGGTTTGCCACAGTCAGTCAGGTCAAGTTAAGGTGAGTTTAAAGCTTTATTCAAAGAAAGTAAAAGTGAAAAGCATGTCTGGCCTTTAACTTCAGCTACCCCTCTCTATAGACTAAATATGGTCCGATTTCCAACACAATGTATTTGCAGAGGCTGTGTGATTTGAGGGAAACTTCTCAATGCATTTTTGTTCTTTACATTGTGACAGGTCTGATCCTAATTAGAAAAGCTAGAATGGATATTCTGAAAAGGGCCTGATGTTTTGAGTTCAATTTAATTTATTCTGCATTTCCTAGGCCCCACATCTGCAACAGTGCACCGGTTGCTAGCTCGAAGGCTAACCTAGTGTAGAGGAAGAAAATGGTATCCAAACTTGGTTAGCAGTTTGGAGGCACTTCATTGACACCAGTGGGTTTTCTTTGCATTTCTTTGCATGAAATCAACATCTTTTTCTGACGTGTGAGAAAAGAGAGATGTGTCACACAAAGATGTTCTCTTTTAGACCAAGAAGCACTCCAAGAGCACCAACCTCTGCCCAGGCAGCTCACTCTCTTCTCCTCAGTATTTACTTTTAGGGGTACATTATATTTGCATTTTGTTGTCTTTGTTCTTTTTAAATGTATTTTAAGAAGATTGCAGTGCAGTAACAATAATGCATTTGGGGGTTAACTTTAAAGAAGTGCACATGTGAAATGTAAAAGTGATGTCAGAGATCAAATGTGACATATTTGGATCTAACTGTAATGCGATATTTAGAATCCTTATATACCAGTATCATTTCCTGTGCCAATACAATCAGAGGAAGCCAAATTTTAATGGATCGTTAAGCCAAGCCTTCTCTAAACCCCATCCAAGGTTTTATCAGAATTCATTCAAAACTTTTCCAGCTATCATCTCTACAGACAGGCTGACACACAGACATGCACACACTGGTCAATTAATGAACAAAAACAGAACAATAAACAAAGTCATCTTGAAAAACTGTAGTGAATTGATACTTAATAAATAAAATTGAATTAAGCTAAATCCACAGAAAGAAACGAAGCATGAATCACCTGAGGTATCCCTGCAGGAGCAGGTGAACAATCACAACTTCAGCCTGTCGCCGAGACAGCGTGGTGGTCTGAATCATCTTCCTGTGCTTTGCAGGGCCTTTCCCCATCCATGCATCCACCAGTTTCAGTGGGGTCAGTTTCTCATCCATGGAGGCTGCAAGCTCCACAATCTGCACCACTTGCCTGGCATGTTGGGTAATGTCCACAGTGGGGTAATCTGGAGGGGGGTGTTAAAAGTGAGGTGATGGATTTAGGGCATATGATCGATATGGCTGACACATAAAGCAATAAATTTCCTCACCACCCACACCTTTTGCTTGACTGCAAGTGTCACACATCTGGTTGCATCCTTCATCATCCCACACTTCATCAAAGTGAACTGCCATGAGAGAGCGCCGACACCTTCACAAAGCAGATATTACATTTAAGAATATATATTACATTTAAGACTGTGCAAATTGGGCAGCCCGCACTGACATCCTGTGCTACCTGTTAACATTCTGGCAGTAATCTACCATCTGTAGCAATTTCTGCTGACCAACATTCTCCATCACCACCATGGTGCTGATCCTGAAGATATCAGCGAAGCCGAAATAGACAATGCAGTCAGCCGGAGAGTCATCTCGACCTGGAGACACAACGGAAATACTTAACATTGGAATAATAACCGTGAGTAATGCTAGAACGGTATTGCTTATGCTACCAATAGAAATTATAGGCCGTCTACCTGCCCGTCCACTCTCTTGGTAGTAGTTCTCAATGGACTTGCTGATGGTGTGGTGGATGACAAACCTGACGTCAGGCTTGTCAATGCCCATGCCAAATGCCACAGTGGCTACCACAACCTAAACACACAAAAACGAAAAAAACAACTCATGTGTTTTACAGATGCATTATTCAGTGAGCTGTTTACAAGCATGGAATGGAATTTTTTTTCCAATCAGAGGTATTGCCCCTCTCTATGTATGGGGGAACTTCAGTGCTGATTTTGAACAAAATTGATATGATTTTTAGTTCGGATCACATTATTTATATAATATTTACAATCTTTTTTAATCAAGTCCAGATGGAAGGTTAAGTAGATAAATTAAAGTGAAATCAAAGGCCAATTGTGGAAAAATTGTTAAATTACGTTTGCTACCACCTCTGTACAGTAGGACAGCTTTGGACAATCCCAGAAGATTTGGAAGAGACCTGCAGATTTATTACTGCTCGTTCTCTGGCATGTCCCAGACCTTTAGAGGTACTGACATCCACTTATTGAGTGTAAATAAATATTTCTTATAAAGATTTTAGTCCTACTGTATTCAAAAGAGTAATGAGCTATCTTTTAATAATTTTCTAAGCAAGCCAGAGTTATGCCTCCCTCCTCTTTCATTAGCTCTAGAGTTTGTGACCTAAGCCTACATGTTATCTTGACCTGGATAAAGGCTGATATCAGGCTATTAAACTCAATTGTTTAGGAAAGTGGTGTCAATTATATATATATATATATATATATATATGTATATATATATGTATATATATATATATATATATTATATATATATATATATATATATATATATATATATATATATATGAAAAAAAGACGTCCCCACCCCCCACCCCTCCCCCCAGTGGCCCTAATCCTCTTCCGTACATTGGTTATTATGATGAACTCCTCTCAGTTTCAACGTGTTTCAAGCAGATCATCGCATGGATTACTTCCAGCTGTTTACCACCTACAATGATAGGATCTCCATTTAAAAGTGACTGCTAAGAGGGAACTGGCTCTGGACTTTGTAATCCCATTTTTCCAGGTCGTTTGTGGCTTTGGATGCGCTGCTGTAGATCACGGAGCTGGAGTCATAAAACACCCTGAGTTTTCCTGGATAGTGTCTGATGATGAACTCATTTTTCCTTGAGTGTCATTCTGATTGCATTATATGCTTTTCTTTTAAGTGCAATCTAAATCCCAAAGTGCTGTTTAAAGAACACTCCTTCCACTCTACTTGATCTCCATTTTTTCCATGCAAACCACCTCCTTAGTTCCATATTCCAGGAAATAAGCTATGCTCACATCCCCCTTGAGCTCCTTTGTAATTTATAGTTCATTTTCTGACTTTGCCATGTTGATTTCTCCCTTTAATCAGAATCAGAATACTTTATTAATCCCGAAGGAAATATCTATTATCCCCTTTTATGCTATTTAAATCTACATTTTAAGCTATGACTTAATTATTTATTTTGGGGAGCACTGACTGTAGTTTAAGCTGCTGCCATCTACAACACTACAGAAGTCCAGAAATCCACTAAAACCCTTTTTAGAAGAATATTTTAAATCCAAAAATTAGTTTTAATAATATCTAAAAGCTATGTGCTGAACCATTTATTGCAATTAAATAAAAAAATATATTAAAATTTTTTTTGTGGAATCACTCCAGGCAATATTAACCATGAGCAGAAAATCTTGACCCAATTCTTATAGAAAATCTCAGCAGAAATGCAGCTGTGCATATGTTTCTTTACTGACCTGAATTTTGTTGGAGGTCCATTTGCGGTGAACCCGGGACTTGTCCTCAGAGTCCATGTTTGCATGGTAAGGATATGCCAAGATGTCTCTTTTCTGGAGTTCTGCTGACACCAACTCTGCATCCTTCTGAGAGAATACATACACAATTCCTGTGGCATGTATGAACAAAGCAGAAAATATTCATACATGATTATTACGTATAGAAATATTCACATTATAATTGTCTATTCTAGCATGACTAAAAATACTTTGCAGAATTGAGGATATTAACCTTTTTTAGCCATTTTCCACTAGTGCCCACTCAGCTCGGATTGGCTCAAATCAACTCAATTTTAAGGGTTTTCCATTAGGTGGTGATAAGTGGTAACCAGGTACTTTTTTAGTACCTATTCGGTAAGGCTTCCAAGCAATCTGAGACAATCAGAAAATGGAACAAACTGGATGACGCCAATTGGCCAGTCAGTGGTGTCACTGGGGTCATGAGAGTGACTCCTTCTCAAAAATCAAAACCACTATTTTTGAAACCCAGCACTGAGGGAAATGGCTACACAAAAACCAATACCATGGTCCGCAAGTTTAACAGTAAGCCGTAGGCTGAGCAGAAGGTATACCATCGCCTCAGCGTCCTTCACTGTTTGTGTAGTATACAAAACCACGTTGCTATAACAACCCATGCATGTACTCAATTTTAATGGAAAATCACCAAAACAGAAGAGAATCAAATTGAGTCGGCACTAGTGGAAAAATGGCATTAGTAATGTTTTATATATGCAGCAGTCTTGTTTGTCATAGTACCTGATTGGTCCTTGTATTTACTCTTGATCAGAGCAGCTATGTCATTTACTGATGCTTCACTGACAGAATCCTTTATACGAACCTGAGAAGGAAATGAAACACGTGTTAAGTGTGTATGAAGATGGGGAGCATAGTAAAAAGAAGTTTATGAACCCTAACTCTTAACTTCTAGAGCACAGGTGTCGAAATCCAGGCCTCGAGGGTCAGTTTCCTGCAGGTTTTAGATGTGTCCTTGATCCAACACAGCTGATCTGAATTAAATGGCTAAATTACCTCCTCAACATGTCTTGAAGTTCTCCAGAGGCCTGGTAATGAACTAATCATTTGATTGAGGTGTGTTGAAATAGGGCGATATCTAAAACCTGCAGGACACCGGCCCTCGAGGCCTGGAGTTCACCACCCCTTTTCTAGAGAATTCCTCTACAGCCTTTTCGAACTTTGTGTATTCATAGAGTATCTTCTGTCAGTAAGAGTTGTTAGATCAATGCATGATCCAAACCATGTCTTGTTGAGAATTTGTATAACTTAACTTCTATAAAGGGCACTTCTACAGTCCAAAGTTATAGTCAAGGGGCTGAAAATGGAGCCAAAAACTACAGGCACTTCAGGCTGGTTTTAAAAGCCAGCAAAATACCAATAGAGTCCCATGTTAAAAAATACTAGCTCTACATTTTGACTGAAATTGTGTTAAGCGTTGGAGTTATCTGACAGAGTTGGTCACATTAGTGTTAGCCCAATTTAGCAGACATAACTAATGTAACTATACTCAGCTCACACATTTGATGTGTGAGAAAGCAAGTTGTATAAAGCTCTTTGAATGCTCGGAGCAGAAATCCTTCCTTGCTGTTTGGCATTTTCTTTTATGTGCAGGTTCAAATACACATAATAAATAAATGTCTTTGTGATTATTACATTGCATCATGTCATCATCATGTTTATTTGACAAGATTTTAACTGTTAAAATGAAGTTGATTTGATTTAGTTATTAAATCAAACCAAAAGTAACATCAATTTATTCAATACAGTGTTAATATCTGAAATGGGACCCGCAGTAAAAAAGGTTAAGAACCTCTGCTCTATTTAATGATTATACAGTGGAGGTGACAGTTATTAACTCTGAGAAAAGATAAAGAGCTGACTTCATAAGCACATTTATTTTTTATCTTTCTATCATTATTCAGAGAGTTTGCCTTCCACCTGATATATTAGGTAGATTCAAAGACAGATGATGTCAAGCACACCACACAGTAACTGTGTGATCCGACTGTGAATAAGCAGCACACTATTTTGTCCCAAATTCACAGGGAAGAAAGAGACTGACAGATTGGTTCAGAGACTTTCAACATCCAACCACATCTAAAATATTGTTTTTCTTATATTATCCTGCATTTTCTTTTTTTATTTTACTGGCCTTTTAAAATCAGCAATGGTCCACAGACTAAAGCAGGGGTGTTGAATAGAGGTCTGCATTCCCGCGGCTGTCCCGCGGGAGCCGCGGGACCCGACCAGATTTCTTGCGGCGCGGGAATAAATTTCCAAATAAAATGCGGTAGCGGTCGGTAACTCTGGTGTAATTTGAACGGGAGCGGGCGGTCTGAAAATATAGCGTGCCCGACATTTTTTCGGAACAGCATATCTGTGATTTCCTCATTCTAATTGAGCACTGGTACAGCCAGTGCTCACGCCTGTTACACGCACTGAGCGCATGGATCAGTGCTTTTTGCAGTAGGCCACAATGCTGTATTCGTTTTTATTTATTTTATTTTTGCAACACGTTTTCCATGTTAAAAGATAAATGTTGCATGTTGACAGATAAATGCATCTTGTTTAAGAAAAATAAATACAATCATTGCACAACCTGCAGTTTTATCTGTTATCTCTATTTTTTGGTGGTACCCCATTTAAATGTGAGATTTTGGAAACCAGATCTAAATTTAGCGGGAACGGTCGGGTCGGGTAGAAAATTATTCTAAGCGGGCAGCGGGTGAACAAAGACTGAATATACAGCGGGAGCGGTCGGGTGCGGTACAAAACCTTGCGGGAGCGGGCGGGAGCGGGACTAAAAAAACATTCCCGCGCAGACCTCTAGTGTTGAACTCCAGTGCCAGAACTTCAAGACACGTTGAGGAGGTAATTTAGCCATTTAAATCAGCTGTGTTGGATCTAAAACCTGCAGGACACCGGCCCTCGAGGTCTGGAGTTCGACACCTTTGGACTAAAGTGTTTTTCAGTGGCTAATGTAATGTACATACTGACGTTATACCTTGGAATAACAATAGTGGTCTATTCAGCATATTTTCCCAACAGTTTAGCATATGTCCTGCTACCACCATAAATCAGTTTATGTTTGAGTATGAGGGATAATCATTTTGTGTTGGTTTCAAACTGGATATCAAGATTCATGTAAGTCTACTGTGACATCCCCGCCCGGTGATGCTGGTGTCTGTCCTGCCAAGCATGTGACAATGACATTGTATTGACTGTTGTTAATCAATTGTTTATTTTAAACTGATGCATTTTCATGTTTGCAATAACTATTCATTTGATATATCATAAACCTCTTGGCATGTCAGTCTGTATGAGATCAAATTGCTTTTTGGACATCTCATAAATCCTGTTCTGTACGGTGACAACAAAACTGGATTTTATTTCCAGAATATTTTTTATGTAGATTTTTAGGAAAAAATCATAAATAAACATTTCAGGGTAGAAATGTTTCATTATAGCATAAAGTGAATGACTCGGAAATACTATATTGGCTGTCACCCATTGGTTTGTCTTGACATGTCTTTGACAGCATAATAGACAGAAATGTCTTCAGTTTCCTTTGTCACCCATTTAAATAAAGTCAATGTAATTTCTAATAATTATTTTAATTTAAAAATAAAAACAAATCTGTTGTTTTTGGTTTTCTTTTTTTTTTTCCCCAGGTCATTTTTTAAACTGTGTTATGGGCACTGATCACGAAGGGATGGGCAGGATGTATACTATTGATTGACAGCTGGTGTGTCACGTTTGCTACAAGTTAAATATGAGCATATTTGTTGAAGATGGCCACCACTCCTTCAATGGACTATACTGAAAGTTAAAGACGTATTAAGGTATAAAGGTGGGGGATTCTAATTTCAATCTAATATACAGAAATTAACAATTTCTTCACAGAGTTCGTAGCTGTTGCGGCTTAGCAAACTACCAGCCAATCAGACAACGGTATTGCCTGTTGCTAGGGTAAAAATGTACATTTCTAAACACATATTTTTATATTAAAACATTTGACTGGCTAAGTGGATTTTTGAGTGCAGTGACAGTGCTTACTTCATAGTAGAGATTAGTTCGATTGAAGGAAGCAGTGAGCGTGATTGCCTGTGGCACACACAGGATCTTCTCGCAGTCTTTCAGGACACTACTGGTTGCTGTGGCTGTGAGGCCAAGGAGGGGCACTTTGGGGAACTGCCTCTTCAGGATGCCTAGCATCTTATAATCTGAACGACAAGCACACAGGTGAACCAGTATGTAGCACATCATAGCGACGGGGGGGGGGGTGCTTACTAAATATGATCTGAGGTCAGAATACTCACCTGGTCTGAAGTCATGACCCCATTGGCTGCAACAGTGCACCTCATCAACAGCAATACGATTCAGGAGGTTTGCTTTGTAGGCTTTCTCCAGACGAGACATTAGGAGCTTGCTCTTAGCAATTTTCTCTGGAGTCACGTACACCAGCTTGAAGGGGGCCTTTGGATCTGTCATTCCAGCCATGACCGTCTTAGCATGCTCCTGCGAATGATGGAAACAAAAAACAAGCTGCAGTTTAGTGCCAGAAACATAAAGCTCTGCAGTTGTTGTGGATCATTACAGATGATCCATCCATGTTGTTTAGATGCCCTAAAGCCATCTCAGTCTTCATTTCTTGTCCACAGCAGAAGTGTGTGTAATGTCACTAAACGATTCTTGGACACACTGGTGAACAGTGAGTGCAGTTGCCATGGTTATTTCATTGTTGCTTAAAGCAAAATGAAGACATGGATACAAAATTAAAAGCGGTTGTCAAGAAAGTCAGTTTACTCATCAGATATGAACAGCAGTCATGGAATATACAGAATGAATGATTTTGGATGATCTCTCACATTAGTTTTGTAAACCAGTGAAAACAAGATCACAGCTCCTTGAGGCAACTATTGTTGTGATTGTGGCTGTACAAATCAAATGTTACTGAATTGAATAGAAGATAGTACCTGTACGTGTAGTTTTATTTTCTCCCTAAAACTCTGTTTTGCTAGTCTGTGCATTCACACACACATTTGCAAGTTCACTTTCATGAGACATACTATTAAACTATCAACACATGTGTATGTGTGAATTTTTGACAGATGTGTACATCTGTCAAAAGCTATGGCTCAGGCTGTCACAAAAGAAGGCTACCTGGAGGGAGAGTGGGTATGACCTCTAGTTTTTTTCCACTCTATATCTTTGGAATCACAACACATAACACAGTTGGCTAGCAGATTTTTTTCCTTTCCAAAAATCTGCACCCTTTCAGTAAAACAAACACATAGTTACAACTTGTATCCAAAATGTGGATTACAAAAGGCAATTCTTTTCTTTCCGCACACACGCATAATCCTCAAATAATCTTTTTCTACATGGCAGGCAGTTCTTACTCTGCTACTGGATGCATTGAGCATGACTGCCGACACGTCAATAGTCTTCAGGTACATCAACTGGTCCTCCATCAGGGATACAAGTGGAGTGATGACCAGTGTAAAGCCTGATAAATGATAAAAGAAATAAGTCGTAAGAAGAAGAGCATAAAACTGGAAGGACAGATGTTTTGTTCCAAAACTCTGCATGTGTGTCTCACTGTACCATTAGAACAGATTGCAGGAAGCTGATAGCAGAGACTCTTCCCTCTTCCTGTGGGCATGACCAGGAACAGGTCCTTGCCTGACATGGTCAGGTTGATGGCTTTCAGCTGCAAAGGTCTGAAGTTAGAGAGATGGAATGTGGCCTTCAGGTGCTGCTCCACGTTGCTGGACCATGGAAAATCTATAAAGCATGATGTTACTGCATGTCAACACAGTGCACAGACGTGGCATATTTCTACAACTAGTTGTCTAGTCTGTCTGTCGAGTACCTGTGCCATCATATCGTTGCATTTCCTGCTTGCTCATCGCTGGCTTGGCTTCAGATGCCTTTGAGGCAGAAGAAGATAAAGGCTGTGCAGTGTCACAGGCCTCCTCCAGCTGCTGCAGCAGGGCATTCTTCCGAGAAGTGAGCTCAGCCTTTTTCTGCAGGATCTCTGCGAGCTGCAGTTCCACTGTGTCCAGCTCGGCCTCGATCGAGTCCAGCTCGACCTGCATATCTAAACAGCAACACCAGGAACATTGGTAGCAGGCTCCAAGCACTTATTTGTTGTGTCTTTGGACCCCAAACAGTTCAGCAATGCCCAGATAATAACTACTCTTGGGCAATCAATTCTGGTTTGTTCAAAATCACTCATCCATTCAGCTTGCGCATGTCCAGAAGTGGCCACCAACTAATTAAGTCTGTAATTTTTTTTTTTATTTGCATGGTTTTCTTTTGCTATTCTTACTGCATAAAGTTTTTAACTAACATCAGCTCTTTTCATAAATATAAACCCATAAAACACCAGTTTGTTTGTACAATGCCCTTGTTGGAAGACAACCTCAAAAATGACAATTTCCTATATTTGCAGTGCTACTGGATTTCTTATATTGTTAATAGTAGAGTTTAAGACATGTCCTCGATTAACAACAACATATATTATTATTTTTGTGCACGTAAAGCAAAAGTTGATAAAACTCCCACTCAGCTTATTCATGGCCAAAAGTGGCCACCTCCTGTTTACATTCATAAAATACAATAAAATATATATATATATATATATATATATATTTGAGTGAGAAAGGTGATATCTCCGTGAATCGCTACCTTATCGCGGTGGAGGGGTTTGTGTGTCCCAGGGATCCCAGGGGCTATGTTGTCTGGGGGCTTTTGCCCCCTGGTAGGGTCTCCCATGGCAAATTGGTCCTGGGTGAGGGACCAGACAAAGAGCGATTCAGAAGACCCTTATGAAGAGAACATCGAGGGAACAGTTTACCCTGCCCGGGATAGGGTTACCGGGGCTCCGCCCTGGAGCCAAGCCCGGGGAGGGTGCCCGAGGGCAAGCGTCTGGTGGCCGGGCCTTAGTCCATGGGGCACGGCCAGGCACAGCCCGAAGAGGAGACATGGGCCCATCCTCCCGCAGGCCCACCACCCGCAGGAGGCACCATAGGGGTCGGGTGCATTGTGTGCCGGGTGGCGGCCAGGAGCGGAGGCCCTGGCAGACTGATCCCCGGCTGCCAAGACTGGCAATAGGGACATGGAATGTCACCTTTCTGGTGGGGAAGGAGCCTGAGTTAGTGCGTGAGGTTGAGAGGTACCGGCTAGATATAGTCGGGCTCACCTCTACGCATGGCTTGGGCTCTGGAACCAGTCTCCAGGAGAGGGGCTGGACTCTGTCTCAGTCTGGAGTTGCCCCTGGTGAGAGGCGGTGGGCTGGGGTGGGTATTCTAATATCCCCTTGGCTTGCTGCCGGTACGTTGGGGTTTTTCCCGGTGGATGAGAGGGTTTGTTCCCTGCGCCTTAGGGTCGGGGAACGGGTCCTGACTGTCATCTGCGCTTATGCGCCGAGTGGCAGTTCAGAGTACCCAGCCTTCTTAGAGTCCCTGGGGGGGTGCTGGAGGGTGCTCCACCTGGAGACTCTGTTGTCCTCCTGGGAGACTTCAATGCTCACGTGGGTAACGACAGCGAGACCTGGAGGGGCGTGATTGGGTGGAACGGCCTCCCTGATCTGAACCCAAGCGGTGTTTTGTTATTGGACTTCTGTGCAAATCACAGTTTGGCCATAACAAACACCTTGTTCGAACATAAGAGTGTCCATAAGTGCACGTGACACCAGGACGCTCTAGGCTGTAGGTAAATGATCGATTTTGTAATCGTATCACCAGACCTGCGACCATATGTTCTGGACACTCGGGTAAAGAGAGGGGCTGAGCTGTCAACTGATCACCACCTGGTGGTGAGTTGGATCAGGTGGCGGGGGAGGACGCTGGACAGACCCGGTGCACCTAAACGCGTAGTGAGGGTGTGCTGGGAACATCTAGCAGAGGCCCCAGTCCGCGAGATCTTCAATGCACACCTCCGGCAGAGCTTCAACAGCATTCCGAGGGAGACTGGGGACATTGAGTCCGAATGGACCATGTTCAGCGTCTCCATTGCCGAAGCTGCTGCATTGAGCTGCGGCCGCAAGGTGGTTGGTGCCTGCCGTGGTGGTAATCCCCGAACCAAATGGTGGACACCAGAGGTGAAGGGAGCCACCAGGCTGAAGAAGGAGTCCTATCGGGCTTGGTTAGCCTGTGGGACTCCGGAGGCAGCCGACAGGTATCGACAGGCCAAGTGGAATGCGGCTCGGGCAGTGGCTGAAGCAAAAACTCGGGTGTGGGAGGAGTTCGGAGAGACCATGGAAAAAGACTTTCGGACTGCCTCGAAGAGATTCTGGCAAACTGTCAGGCGTCTCAGGAGGGGAAAGCGGTGCTCTACCCGCACTGTGTATAGTGCTGGCGGAGCGCTGCTGACATCGACTGAGAAAATTGTCAGGCGGTGGAAGGAATACTTCTCCTTAATCCCACTGACACGTCTTCCGAGGAGGAAGCAGAGTCTGGGGATGAGGGGAATGACCCGCCAATTTCCGGGGGCGAGGTCACTGAGGCAGTTAAACAACTCCTTGGTGGCAGAGCCCCTGGTGTTGATGAGGTCCGAGTACCTGAAGGCTCTGGACGTTGTAGGGCTGTACTGGTTGACACGCCTCTACAATGTTGCGTGGAGATCAGGGGCAGTACCCCTGGACTGGCAGACCGGGGTGGTGGTCCCCATCTTTAAGAAGGGAGACCGGAGGGTGTGTTCCAACTACAGGGGATCACACTCCTCAGCCTCCCTGGGAAAGTCTATGCCAGGGTGCTGGAAAGGAGAGTTCGTCCGCTAGTCGAACCTCGGATACAGGAGGAACAATGCGGTTTTCGCCCTGGTCGCAGAACACTGGACCAGCTCTTTATCCTCTCAGGGATACTTGAGGGTGCATGGGAGTTTGCCCAACCAGTCTACATGTGTTTTGTGGGCTTGGAGAAGGCATTCGACCGTGTCCCTCGGGGTGTCCTGTGGGAGGTGTTGCGGGAGTATGGGCTGTCTGGCCCATTGCTACGGGCCATTCGATCCCTATACAACCGTTGCAAGAGCTTGGTTCGCATTGCCGGCAATAAGTCGGACTCATTCCCGGTGGGTGATGGGCTCCGCCAGGGCTGCCCTTTGTCACCGGTTCTGTTCATAATTTTTATGGACAGGATTTCTAGGTGCAGCCAAGTGGCAGAGGGCTTTCAATTTGGTGGCCTCAGAATCTCATCTCTGATTTTTGCGGATGATGTGGTTCTGTTGGCTTCATCGGGTGGGGGCCTCCAGCTCGCACTGGAACGGTTCGCAGCCGAGTGTGAAGCAGCGGGAATGAGGATCAGCACCTCCAAATCTGAGGCCATGGTTCTCAGCCGGAAAAGGGTGGAGTGCCCACTCCGGGTCGGGGATGAGTTCCTGCCCCAAGTGGAGGAGTTCAATTATCTCGGGGTCTTGTTCGCGAGTGATGGGAGAAGGGAGCCGGAGATCAACAGACGGATTGGGGCTGCAGCTGCAGTAATGCGGACGCTGCACCGGTCCGTCGTGGTGAAGAGGGAGCTGAGTGTAAAAGCGAAGCTCTCAATTTACCGGTCGATCTACGTCCCTACCCTCACCTATGGCCACGAGCTGTGGGTACTGACCGAAAGAACGAGATCGCAGATACAAGCGGCAGAAATGAGCTTCCTCCGAAGGGTGGCTGGCCTCTCCCTTAGAGATAGGGTGAGAGGTTCGGCCATCCAGGAGGGGCTCAGAGTAGAGCAGCTGCTGCTCCACATCGAAAGGAGCCAGCTGAGGTGGTTCGGGCATCTGACAAGGATGCCTCCTGAGTGAGGTGTTCCGGGCATGTTCCATCGGGAGGAGGCCCTGGGGCAGACCCAGGACACGCTGGAGAGATTATATCTCTCAGCTGGTCTGGGAACGCCTTGGTGTTCCCCCGGATAAGCTGGAGGAGGTGGCTGGGGAGAGGGAGGTCTGGGCCTCTCTGCTTAGGCTGCTGCCCCCGCGACCCGGCCTCGGATAAAGCGGATGAAGGTGGATGGATGGATGGATGAAACTTTGTCTGACTTGAGTTTTTAAATTAGCACCAGTCCTAGTCATAAAATTCAGAATTTTGACCCTTTCAAAACCAGTTACATCACATCATTCTGATGATTTACAAAGAGATAAAAGGATAAAATAATTATTTTTTACCAAATAATACAAGCAATCTGATTTATTTTCTAACCATGATTGCAGTTAAATGTATATCAATAATTAACCTTTTACGATTATATATGAGTCATTACTTTTTTGAAAAGAAAAAAAAAACAAAAAACTCCCACTCAGCTTGTTAGTGGACAAATGTGGCCACCACCTGTTTACGTTCACAAAATGTTATAAAATTAATACATATTAAAACAGTTTCCACTCGATTTCTCAAATTGGCATCATTCCTTGTCATTAAAACCAAAAAAAAAAAAAATTTACCCTCTAAATGCTAGTTAGGTTGTCTATTACCAGTAACTTTTTTTTTTTAGAAAAAAAAGAAAAAAGAAAAAAAGAGGATAACGTTCTCATTTTGTCACCATATAATTGTTTTCAGTCAGCGTTAAAGGTCAGTACCAGTAACAATGATTTATTTTTACTTTTTTGCATTTACTTTCAGTCTTCTTCAGTCACCTTTCTCACTCACTATGTGTTAAAAGACCTCTTTGCACTGAATCATACTTGTTATTGATCTCTGGCTCTCTTCCACAGCATGTCTTTTATCCTGCCTTCCTTCTCTCACCCCAACTGGTCGCGGCAGATGGCCGCCTCCCCCCAACCCTGGTTCTACCAGGGTCTGATTTTATCTTTAGCGGTGCACTTTTTGGTCCTACCTGCTTTAATTCATTCACCCTTTAGCTGACCCAAGGAGATCGGAAGAGAGCCTTTGTTAAAACACAGTCATCTATCCATCCATCCATCCATCTTCATCCGCTTATCCGAGGTCGGGTCGCGGGGGTAGCAGCCTAAGCAAAGAGGTCCAGACCTCCCTCTCCCCAGCCACCTCCTCCAGCTTGTCCGGGGGAATACCAAGGCGTTCCCAGGCCAGCCGAGAGATATAATCTCTCCAGCGTGTCCTGGGTCTGCCCCGGGGCCTCCTCCCGGTGGGACATGCCTGGAACACCTCGCCCAGGAGGCGCCCAGGGGCATCCTTGCCAGATGCCCGAACCACCTCAGCTGGCTCCTTTCGATGTGGAGCAGCAGCTGCTCTACTCTAAGCCCCTCCCGGATGGCCGAACTTCTCACCCTATCTCTAAGGGAGAGGCCAGCCACCCTTCGGAGGAAGCTCATTTCCGCCGCTTGTATCTGCGATCTCGTTCTTTCGGTCACTACCCACAGCTCGTGGCCATAGGTGAGGGTAGGGACGTAGATCGACCGGTAAATTGAGAGCTTCGCTTTTACACTCAGCTCCCTCTTCACCACGACTGACCGGTGCAGCGTCCGCATTACTGCAGCCGCAGCCCCAATCCGTCTGTCGATCTCCAGCTCCCTTCTCCCATCACTCGCGAACAAGACCCCGAGATACTTGAACTCCTCCACTTGGGGCAGGAACTCATCCCCGACCCGGAGTGGGCACTCCACCCTTTTCCGGCTGAGAACCATGGCCTCAGATTTGGAGGTGCTGATCCTCATTCCCGCTGCGTTACACTCGGCTGCGAACCGCTCCAGTGCGAGCTGGAGGCCCTCACCCGATGAAGCCAACAGAACCACATCATCCGCAAAAATCAGAGATGAGATTCTGAGGCCACCAAAGCGAAAGCCCTCCGCCACTTGGCTGCGCCTAGAAATCCTGTCCATAAAAATTATGAACAGAACCGGAGACAAAGGGCAGCCTTGGCGGAGCCCATCACCCACCGGGAACGAGTCCGACTTATTGCCGGCAATGCGAACCAAGCTCTTGCAACGGTTGTATAGGGATTGAATGGCCCGTAGCAATGGGCCAGACACCCCATACTCGCGCAACACCTCCCACAGGACGCCCCGAGGGACACGGTCGAATGCCTTCTCCAGGTCCACAAAACACATGTAGACTGGTTGGGCAAACTCCCATGCACCCTCAAGTATCCTCGAGAGGACAAAGAGCTGGTCCAGTGTTCCGCGACCAGGACGAAAACCGCATTGTTCCTCCTGTATCCGAGGTTCGACTAGCGGACGAACCCTCCTCTCCAGCACCCTGGCATAGACTTTCCCGGGGAGGCTGAGGAGTGTGATCCCCCTGTAGTTGGAACACACCCTCCGGTCCCCCTTCTTGAAGATGGGGACCACCACCCCGGTCTGCCAGTCCACAGGTACTGCCCCTGATCTCCACGCAACATTGCAGAGACGTGTCAACCAAGACAGCCCTACAACGTCCAGAGCCTTCAGGAACTCGGGGCGGACCTCATCGACACCAGGGGCTCTGCCACCAAGGAGTTGTTTAACTGCCTCAGTGACCTCGCCCCCGGAAATCGGTGGGTCACACCCCTCATCCCCAGACTCTGCTTCCTCCCGGAAGACGTGTCAGTGGGATTAAGGAGGTCCTCGAAGTATTCCTTCCACCGCCCGACAATTTTCTCAGTCGACGTCAACAGCGCTCCGCCAGCACTATACACAGTGCAGGTAGAGCACCGCTTTCCCCTCCTGAGACGCCTGACGGTTTGCCAGAATCTCTTCGAGGCAGTCCGAAAGTCTTTTTCCATGGCCTCTCCGAACTCCTCCCACACCCGAGTTTTTGCTTCAGCCACTGCCCGAGCCGCATTCCGCTTGGCCTGTCGATACCTGTCGGCTGCCTCCGGAGTCCCACAGGCTAACCAAGCCCGCTAACCAAAACACAGTCATCTAAATTAAAAATAAAAGGCATAAAGGATTCAACCAAAATAGAATCTAAATAAAGAAACATCTTTATGACAGTGTGACTGACAGTGACGTCTTGAAAACCAAAGGAGCACTTTCATTACTGTGTTGGCTATATCTGCGATACGTTATGTACCGTCAGCTCCTTTCATAGAGACAGAAATGTGCAGCATGTTCTCTCAGTGGACTGGTGTTGTTAGAGTGGGCAGAGTAGACAGCCAGGTCTCACACCTACACAGTAACAAGAGCCCTGAGAATCACACCCCCGCAGTTAATGATCTTATTCCTTCACCTCCCTCTGGAGTTGTGGCAGTGTTATCGTCTCCAGTCACCATGCTAACAACATTGTCTCCAATACAAAAGCTATCACAGCTATTTTATCACATATATGCATATCAGTACTGTTCATTGTTCACTGCTCCACAAAAAACTCAGCAAACAATTAATTGGAAAAATATTAAAAAGTATAAACAGAAATACTTACCTGTATTCATATTTCACAGTCTGATGTGCTCAGGAGGAAATCAGCTTTCAGGCTGTCACAGACATAAACCATATAAAAAATAAACTTTAAAAAACAGTCAACTTCATGATTTTGTATGATAATATGTATGACCGGAAACAACGGTACAAAGTCGACAGAAAAGGTCGTCTTTCTACATCTATAAGTTTCATTTTTATTTGCCAGTGAGATATCTGAATGTAAAGCGGACTGCATTTTTATCAGTGGTGTTCAGACCATTTTGTTTCTATTTATTTCTGTGAATGAGTACTTGGAGTAATTTCTTTTTTAAAATTTATTACTCGTGTTAAAATTCGGGGAAACGTTCATGTTGTAATTTCTTAAGCAGACGATTTACTTCTAAATTTAATTAAAAATTCAGAATCAGAACTACAGCTAAAGTTACTCCATTTTACTGAGACTTAGCCAGCCACGTGAAATTCATTACGCTGTCCAGGCTTAATAGGCATAGACTAATATTAATCCCACAAACCTGTTACAGCAGCACAAAGGTCTGGACGTAAAATTAAATTAAATTACATTACATTAAATAGGTAAAAAATAATAAATGAGAAAAATAGTGAAAACGCCAAAAGACTCATGGTTACTACATGCAGTAAAAGACACTATGTCACAGATTTTTTTTATATGCACATAAAGTGCATATAATGAATATTAATAAAGGTAACATGCTAGACTCTAAAGCGGTGCACCTGTTTGATCGCATTGTAGCTAGCTGCTAGTTTGTTATGGTAATGAGCATCAGGAGCCTGGAGAGTGCTGTTCAGTAACTCAGTCTCCTCTAGCTCAAAGGAACCACCGTCATTCATTCACTTTCACTTTCTTGGTGAATTTAGCCTCTGCGACAAAACTTCGAAACGCACAAATTTCAATCGACTAACCATTGAAAAAACACTGTATCCACGACCACGTCTTCCCGTTGGAGCAGCTACTCAGTTGCTACAACAGACAGACTGACAAAAAGAAACTCGGAAGCATATGCATCAGAGAAGACTCGGGACATTTTCGCCCCGAGCTTAATCCACTAGGCTGTCTGCAAATACCTTCTCCTGCTGGACGATTTACACCCTTTATCAACTATAACCAATTTTAATATATTACACATTTTAAATACATGAAGTCGGCGTTTAATAGGTAAACTGGAAAGTCTGGGTGAAAACAAAGCAATCAGGCAGTTACACATTTCTACATTGTTTGCCTGACAGACCAAACGCAGGCGTTAAAACAAGCGCGCACAATGTGGTACATTCAAGATGAGCAAATGTGTTGTTACGTTCCACTATTTTGCAACATATTCTGCTATGTGCAATCCAGATGTTGTGTTATAATAGAGCAGGGTAGCTACGTGGTATATGTGTCCTAGTGAAGGTTATGTTATTAACTATAATCTTAATGAACGAAAGTTGCCAAGATGAATGCGTCATGGACGCTGTTCCGGAAGATGTCAGCGAGAGAAGGTGTGTTTCCGGAAGACGTGGCTGTTGCTGCAGTGGCAGCTGTCATCCAAAATTATTCTGAGAAGAGCTTTTTTGTTCTGCTTCTGTCTCATCCAGCTACATTATCAAGATGATTTCTCTAACGGACTCCCAAAGTAAGAGCTGTGTTTTTGAGTGTATCCGTAGGTTCCTGCTGTCTGAGCTAACCCTAGTTTGAGCTGCAGTGCTCAAAGTGCTAACTAGCACTGTCAGTACAAGAAAGTTACCTTTCATTTTTCTCTCATGACATTCAGTGGCACAAATAGCCAGCAGCTTTCCCCCCGATAATATCCGCTGTAGCCACTAGAACGACCAGAGTTACGTGCAAGTACATTATTAAGCGCTCTGACAACTTTACCATTCAGCGTGAGCAGCGGAGCTCCTTTGGAAGCCCTGCTGTGATTCTTATTGTGGATATTTCTGCCATCCTTGTTTGCATATGTGTTATTGGAGTACTTCCGTGTGCTTTAATTTGAAATAAGTCTGTTAGAGTTATGACTATGTGCAGGATTACATTCTGACATGCCGAGCATAGCTTCTGTCAATGTGTCCGTAACGAGATGTAAACCAATTGGTTTGCTTTCGACGTAGAAAAACGTGTAACAAAATATTATCTCTTCATGTTATCTTAAGATTTAAATGTCAGACTCTGATGGTTTGTGTGTCCTTCAGAGATTGGAATGGGATTAACAGGCTTCGGCGTGTTTTTCCTCTTCTTCGGGATGATCCTGTTCTTTGACAAAGCACTTCTGGCTATTGGAAATGTGAGTAACCTGTTGTTGTTGTTCCAAAGGATGTCTAAAAGTGCAACTTCTGATTACGCAGATGCATTACTGTGTGACACGTGACAATTATTATTAATTATAATCTGTTAGTGTGATCCAGCTGTGTTTAGTTTCACATAAACATAGCAACAGCATCATTAATAGCATCAAAGTGCCTCACTTTCTCAGCAGTGTCACATTTGCATTATTTCAGTTACACAGGAAATATAACTAAAATAAAATGTCTCAGTTATGAACTTGCAGGCCACTCTTCTGTGGAACCAGCTCCTAGTTTGGATTTGGGAGACAGACAACCTCTCTATGTATATTAGGCTGAAAACTTTAGTCTCTGATAAACAGCATAGTTAGGGCTGGATCAGGTGACCATAAATCTTTGAGGCTCCCCATGATGCACTGAGTGCTTCTTCTTCACTTTCCTTTTTTTAGGTCCATTTAGTTATTAGTTATTAAAATCTGACTTTCTTCCACAGCATGTCTTCCTCCTCTCATCCCCAAACAGTCGCAGCAGATGGCCGCCCCGCCCTGCTGGGGGTTTCTTCCTGTTCCCAGGCAAATTTTCCTTCCCACTGTCACCAAAGTGCTTGCTCATAGGGGATCATCTGATTGTTGGGGCTTGTCTGTATCATTGTAGGGTCTTAACCTTATGGTATAGAGCACCCTAAAGTAACTCTTGTGTGATATGGCACTATATATACATAAAATTAAATTGAATTGAATCCAAAATCCCTCATAGATATTCAGCTGACTGCAATTATGATTCACGTGATTTTAACACATATAAACCTTCCAGTGAGCCCAATCGTCCCATGAAAGGGGGTAATGTTATCATGAAAAAGACCATTCCCATTTGGACAATAATGTTTCATGTCACAGGATTGCTATTACTGCTAAACATAAGAGAAGCACCCAATCACCTCACCATAGAGGTCAAAGGTTCAAGCATGATCTCTTGGTTTTTTTTAGCTGTTGAAAATGTATTCACTTCTGCGTGTCTCACTTTTTGCGATGCTGACGGCCTCTATTTGCTTTATAGTGCTCTGAATATCCACTGTAACCCTAATATCAATATCTGTCGTCATAGAACTAATGATGGACTATTATTGGAAGAGCTGCTCTTTGCCTTTGCTACCAAACTAAATCAGTTATGTGCCAGACTGCAATTCATACTTTCTAATCTATTTAATGACATATTTCCCATAGATCTGAATGTAAATGGCAGTTAGGCAGTGTACGGATACACTGTCCAGTTGAGCAGTCTTTGTGACAGAGGGTCCTGCCACATGGGCTGCAGCAATAAACCATCTTTTAAGATGGTTTATTGCTGCAGGTCTCTTAGACCTTTTCTTCCTGCTAACGTGAAACAAATTCAGAATAAACAGGACCTGCTTGGAATTTCTTATACATCATGCCGGGAGTATTGCTTGAAGGCTTTTACTCTAACACTGGATAGATGGACTTGACACGTTCAAAATCATGACATTCATCATTTTTGTCGTTAGCAATATGGCTGCTTGTAAAAAGGATTGCATTTTGGATTTTTCTATAATGCTGCACAGTGTTAAAAATGTTCCTTCTAATATTCTCTGTAAGCACAGAAAATATACCCTACCAGTCAAAACGTTTAGAACAACAACATTCCAGTTATTTATTGGAATTCAAGTCGTTCGAGGTACAAAGATAAGTGATGAACTGCCAGGTTAAAAAAAAAAAAAAGCTAAGGTTACCCAAAACTGAAAAAGTAATGCACATTTCAGAATTGCAGATGGCATTTTTCAGGAAACACAAAATGGGTTAACCATTTAAAGCTGTTCGGATCAAGCCTTGAAAGCTGGTGCTACTAATTTTTACAGGTGTTCCAACTTTTCTAGATCACTCACAGCACCCTCTGTCTGCATAAAAGCAGTGTTGGAGTGTGTTGCTACAAAAATGGTGAGGAAAAAGGCAATTAACAATGGAAGAGAGACAGACCATCATAAAATGTAGGTCTTTCCTACAGAGAAATTGCAAAGAAAGTCAAGGTGTCAGTGAGTATAGTTTCAAAAAGACATCAAAAGACACTCAGAAACAAACTCTAACAGGAAGAGGTCTGGCAGACCCAAAACTGAATCAGAGGACAAGTTTCTTAACCGCTTGCATGCATTTGGTTTGTGGCAACTCTACTGGCTACACAATTATTATTTAAAACCAATAAAATTAAACTCCAGTGTTTTTTCCTTCATTCATACTAGTGCAAATAATTGCTTTCTTTCAGTCTGTTTGGTATTTATATGATGCCAATGACAACACTGGATACTTGATTGCGTGTGCTTGCAGTTTTGAACCCTTCTCTAATATGTTTCCACTCTTTTTTTTTGTCTCTGCAGATTCTCTTTGTTGCTGGACTCTCCTTTGTCATCGGCCTTGAGAGGACCTTCCGCTTCTTTTTCCAGAAGCACAAGATGAAGGCCACCAGTTTCTTCCTGGGAGGAGTGTTTGTGGTGTTGATTGGCTGGCCCATTATTGGAGTTTTGCTCGAGATCTATGGTTTTTTTCTCTTATTCAGGTAAGATGAATACAAAAGGCACACAACAGATTCAGTAGACTGACAGTTATCTTGTTTAAAGAGCCCACGAAACACTGAAACCTGAGATACAGTAAACTTATTCTTTACATGAAAGAAGCAGGATGACTTGAGAGATCTGATTGAAACTTGGGCTCAGTCCTGAAAAGCCCTAAATTTTATATATTAAATTGCACTTTGGAAAGCACTGTTTTCATCAAAGTTGCAGTGTGTTTAAAGACTTAAAGTGGACATGAAACACTACATGGAGTACTATGCTTTAAAAAACTGCCATGGATTTCGCACTGTCTGTCTTATTTCTGGATTTAAGAAATAACTGCTCAAAGTCTTTAAAACAAGTTTAGCACCATCCTGAGTCTGCACAGAACATGACATCACCGGGTTGGGTTGATTAATTGTGGTCTATAGACTTACTGTCACGATCAGGCGAGCCATTTATTATGGTTGAGAACAAAGCATGAACATTAAAAAAATATATATATACACTGTAAAAGCTAAATTCCTAACAAACTGAAAACCTGGAACACTGGGAATACCTGGAGACACTTTGGAAATATTGAGAGAACGAGGAGACGTGAGGGAGCATTAACAGACGCAGCCAACTGTTGTTGCAATTTGGCACTATATACATGAAATTGAATTAAATATCCTAGGAGCCACACATAGGCGAGCAGTCTGAGAGTGAAGAGCTCTGTTGGGTTAATATGGTACTTTGAGATTATTAAGATAAGATGGGGACTGAATATTCAAGAGCTTGTATGTGGTGAGAAGGATTTTAAATTCGATTCTGGATTTATCAGGGAACCAGTGATAAGAAGCCAATACAGGAGAAATTTGCTCTCTTTCTAGTCCCTGTCAGTATTTTCACTGTAGCATTTTGGTTCAACTGAAGCTTTTCAGTTCAGGGGCCCGTTCTTCGTACGTCGCTCACTACATCCAAGATCAAATGACACATCCAAGACCAAACCATCGCGCTAACCGTGAGCTCGCTAATCCGGTTCCCCGAACACACTTGTTGTTGACGATTAGTACAGCTGGACGCAGTAATGTGACATCACTGGGTGTCGTAAAAGGGGCTACGCATCGATAGTAGAAACATTGATCGGCAACCCGCTGATTGGTCGGCGAAAATGTCGAAGGGGCGCGCTCGGTATTTTCCGGCAGCAGAGCAAGAACTCTTGATTGAGGGATTTCAGGAGTTTCAGAGTTTAATTAAAACGCAAGGGAACACTGCAAAGGCTGCAAAAGCAAGGAGAGAGGGCTGGCAGGAAGTTGCTGACAAATCAAACTCGTAGGTAATTCAATAATAACGATAATAATGGATTGGGTTTATATAGCGCTTTTCAAGGCACCCAAAGCGCTTTACAATGCCACTATTCAGTCACTTTATTATTTATTCATAGATTTATTATATTACACTATATTATCCAATATTATCTTACATTATATTATATTGTTATATTATATCCCCTTTCACATTAGAGCCACAACAGGACCCACTAGAACATGGGAACAAGTAAAAGTGGAATATAAGAATATTCTACAGAATGGTAATATTTATCACTTATATTGCTTTTCGTCTCTTGGAAAGAGACCCTGGAATGATCTGTTTGTTTGTTCATAAAAGCAACCAAGAAAAGGGCAGAGCAAAAAAGACAGGTGGTGGTCCTGCACCCCCTCGTCAACAAGTTGGTTAAGTGAATAATATCCTCACGGGAAAATCGATATCTCTCAATGAGCACACTGTCGCGCTGAGCTAAAGGATCCTGTCTGTCCCGCAACATACGCTGGATTCTGAGGACTCTCCTTATCAATCTTGCACCTTCCGCAATGGGCTGCTCGCGTATACGGACAGGACATGGCTGCGACAGGCTTCCCAAATCCACCTTCGCTTTTATAGCCGTGGTCTCTCATCTTGATTACACAAAGTAATTTGCAATTACTACTCTGAAATATGAATTACATCTGTAATAATCACATACATGTAATAGAATGTTAATAGTTCATTTCCCTTTTTTAGGAAATGACCTGTATGTATCTGTGTGACATCAATAAAAGGATCAAGTGCTGCATTATCTTTAGTTACATTGATGTTATTTATTTATGGTGAAACAGTGGTGGAATATCGCTGTTGCTTTCGTATGAATGACGCGGACATACCTGCGTGGCCGCGATCTAATCCTGTTTACATAAAGTAAACCTGCTCCCGAGCTCTGTTGCTATGACAGCAAGTCCCGGATGAGCTTCGGGGAACCGAACGATCCAAGATCACGCGAAATCGTCAACAATCTAATCCAGCTAACTTACTTAGCGAGGTACGAAGAACAGGCCCCAGGAGTTTTTAGGTTAGTGCTAATATGTGGTAGATATCATTTTAGCCAGTGTTGTTTAGAAAATGTTTTCAAAATAGACTTGACAAGGGAAAGTCTGTCAATTCCAAAATTATCACCGGATAATTAAGATGGAACCAAGAGATGCAGATAATGCTTAAAGACGAAGACCAAGCCCAGTTCTGAGGAGCCTTGAGAGCTAGCAACAACTTGGTGTTAATAATCGACCTGTGGGATGATTCTTTCCATCTTCATTATAAAAACATTTATGCATAAAAGTTGGTCATCTGGTCTGGTTCATACGGAAGAGGATTAGGCTACTGGGGGGGGAAAGTGAGCACGTCTTTTTTTTTTTTCTTCTTTTCCAGAATTCTGAGAAAAAATAATCCTGATGGAAAAAAAGTCAGAATTCTGACTAAAAAAGACATGCACGTGTTCAAATAATGTAATAATCAAAAAACACTTTTTTTCATGAATTGTCTTTGGCTTCTCCCCTCTGTCTTACTCTCCTTTCTTTAATCACATCCAGGGGCTTCTTTCCAGTGGTTGTAGGCTTTATCAGGAGAATACCAGTCCTTGGCTCCATCCTAAACCTGCCCTTTATCAGTGCAGTGAGTATTACCCAGCTCCACACCTGCTGTGCAGCTTTTGTTTAAACACAGCATGGTTTCTTCATTAATCATCATATTCAAACACCTCAAGCACAACAGATTAACCAGACTGCCCAAATAAATGCCATGGTTATTTAACTGAAAATCAATTTAGCAGACACACGAGCTCAGCATACACAGCTAGGATGGAAGCAGTTTGGAAAATTAAATGTAGTTTTGTGTGTTTAGCTTGTCTCACACATTGCTTTGTGGCTAATAAACATACCCCTACCATGCTGTTGTGTTGGAAGCTTTGTTTTGAGGTGAGCATCTGTCTTTATTTTTATTTTTTTCTTAAGCCTTCGTAAGGCTCTGAGGACAATCAGCAGTCGTGGTCAGTCACTGCCGATTTTCCTTTGCATGTTAACTTATCTAACACGCTTTGAGTCTCATCTTTTTGGAGCAGGTAATTGTCTTTTGTTTTTTAACCTTTAAGGCACACACCACAGGCATGTCATCTGAAGACTGATATATCTTAAGATGACATGTTGTACATCCAGTCAGCCAAGCCATCCATCCATCGTCTTTTACTTCTCCAGTTCAGGGTTGCAGTGGCAAGAGTCGGTGGCCTGTCCAGGCTGGTGACCCTGGACAGGCCACCAGCCTATTGCAGGGATAGCACTGAGAGACATTGACAGTCACACTTGTAGCCAATTGAGAATCACCAGTGAAGTTTACCTGCTTGTCTTTGGACTGTGATAGGAAGCTTGAGTACCCGGAGAGAACCTGCAAATCCCACGCAGAATGGCCCCAGTGGATTTTAACAGTAAGGCTGCACCATGCAAAATGCAGTGAAATATGAATTGTACAAACTGCAGACAAAAGGATTTAAAAAGTTGGTCTGCAATGACCCACTGAATATTTTAACAAGCTAAACAGCCAGCTTCTATGGAAGATTAGCTGTCACAATTTCCCACTATCATGTTGGCTAACCTGACAAAATCTTGTAGTTATGGGCATATGTGCATACATTTTCTTCTTTTTTAACAGTATCATGCATAAAAGAAGTGGATATAGCCTTCAGATCTAAAAAGGAAGTCAGTTCCTTAAATGACATTAACCTGCTCTCTCTCCATTGGTATTTAATAGTCCACCTATAGCAGGTGCTGTAGGGGTTCAGTGCAATAAGGACTGGGCAGCAGTCAAAGGCAGAGGTCCCGTTGGCTCTAGGGAAGGGGTCTCGAAGTCCAGTTCTTGAGGGCTGGTGTCCTAAATCTTTTCCATGTGTCCCTGTTGCAACACGCCTGTATACAATTAGTAGGTCACTAGCAAGACTGTATAGAACAGGGGCGGGCAGTTCCAGACCTCGAGGGCCGGTGTCCTCATTTTAGATGTGTCCTTGATCCAGCACAGCTGATTCAAATGGCTCAATTACCTCCTCAACGTATATCTTTTCCTCAACATAAGTTCTCCAGAGGCCTGGTAATGAACTAATCACTTGATTAGTTCATTACCAGGCCTCTGGAGAACTTCAAGACATGTTGAGAAGGTAATTTATCCATTTAAATCAGCTGTGTTGGATCAAGGACACATCTAAAACTTGCAGGACACCGGCCCTCGAGGCCTGGAGTCTGACACCTGTGGGTTAGGGGTTGCCATTTCAGCATGCAGTCAAGTTCTATACTCTTGCTAATGACCTACTAATTTTATTCAGGTGTGTTGCAACAGGGACACATGGAAACGTTTGAGGACACCAGCCCTCAAGGACTGGAGTTTGAGACCCCTACTCTAGGGACATGGAGTGTCACCTCTTTTGTGGGGAAGGCGTCTGACTAAGTGCTTTTGGTTAGAGATACAGGTTAGATATACTCATCAGGCTCACATCAGCACGTATAGCTCAGGTTCTGAAAAGTGTTTCCTGGAGAGGGGCTAGACTCTGTTCCACTTTGGAGTTTCCCCTAGTGGGAGGTGGGTTTGGTATATACTAGGCTGCCTGTTTTACCCTGGTGGACGAAAGGGTTTCCCTGCACCATCAGGTTGTGTGCGATTATGTACTGAAAGTATAGTATTCAGACTTGTTAGACTCGTCTTTTTTGTTTGTTTAAACAGAAAGTAGTGCACACAACCTCGTTGCAAACAGGTTATAAAAATGACCTGAAATTTTGAGACTGTGCCTTGTCAGCTGTGGTGTGTCCCTTTAGGTCATGCATGCTTCACTTTAAAGTGTTGCAGGATAATCGCAAACACTGCAGTTCAGCCGCTCCTACATTTATCTGTGCCAAACATTCTCCACATGAGTCCTGAATGCCAACAAGTTGTCACTTAACACGGTTTCTTTCTTTTCTTTCAGTATGCGGACAAAGTGGGCGAGAGCAACACTATGGTATAACAGTGACTTTTTGTAACCAGAGAAAGTTGTTTGATTATAGGTTTTATAAAGCATCACAATCTCCCATGGTGCTGAGTAAAAGCACCTAAATATACAGATCAGATTCAGATTTCCACATTCAAGCAGACAAGGACTGTTTTTGTCTGTAACTTCAGTGGTCAGCACTACCAATCACAGATTCATCACTGTATCGCACCATCAGTTTCTTACTGTCAACACTAAAGTCTCTACAATAAATGTTTCAAATGCCATCGATCCCTTCGCCATTGACTGCATCTTGCGTTTAAAAGGAGGATAGAAGACTCCCTCAAGGCCCGACTTTATCTACATGATGTTCTTAATCTGTGGAACTGTCAGATAAAACTACCCAGTGCAAGGACAAGAAGTGGAAGTGCATCCTGCCATGTTTGCCACGTTTGTGCCTGTGCTTTAACCTAATTTGCACAAAAGCTTTTAAATCCAGGATTTTGTTTACAGTTACACCCCCGTTCAGCTGTTGGAATATTTACTTTGTCCATTTCTTTGTGATTGTGTTCAGTGTTGGCTAGAAGTGTTTCTGTATAAATTATTTTTTAAATATGATCGCTTGACTTTATCTGTTATGAGTGGCAGTCTGTCTACTCGTTCGTTGGGATAGACACAGTTCTCGAGTTAAGTGTTCAAAGACAATGTTCATGCAACACACAAGTTAAGGACACATTGGATCTTGATGAATTAATATTCAAATTGTAAATCCTTACTGACGCACAAAATAGTTTTATACCAAAATCATATACTGTTTGAGAGCTAGGATTTAAAATTACAACAAAAGTTTAAATTATTTTCTGCCTTTTTTTTTTAGCTTTTATGATTTACTTGTTTTTTGTTTGTTTGTTTTTTTTAATAACCGGTAGTAGGAAATGTTGTTGGGTGACTGCTATTAGACATTTAAACAGAAGATGACATGCTACTAACTATAGGCATCAGACCTGTGATATTAGATGTTGCTAAATAAATAAGAGAAGGCTACAAAGCCAAACAGGATTATTATCAATAAAAACTTCTGTGTGGAACTGAAAAAATACTATTACAAAATAAAAAAGGAAACAACTTTCCCCAGCTGGGCCAGATAAAGCTAAGGCACCACAAGTGTGGCACAACTATGTGCATTTTTTTTTTTTGACAGTGTTGTGGAGGGTCTTCAAAGAGTACTCAAATAGTTTGCAGTAAATATTGAATAATATTTTTGCCATCCGTCTTACTTTTTATAATCTTTTCCTGTTTGCTTCCACCAAAGGGGACAGCATGTGGAATAGGCTCAAGCCCCCAAAACACTGAGTTGGATAAGCGAGTAGGTTTGTAAAATTCTTTCGCCTGTGAGGCTTTTTCAGTGTTTTCAGTGTTGACATGACAGTGATCAAAAAAAGCAACACTTGAATCTATTCTAAGGTTTTTGGGCCTAATTCACTAATATGTGTGAACAAATATTCTTAGCTGAAATAGGTGTGCATAAAAAGTTACTCTCATGTTTATGAGATGTGCACATAAGAATCATTCAACAGCCCATGCCCGCAGTCAGTATACTGATTTATCTAAGGTAACACTTTAGATAACTAACAGCTCTAAAGCTTAACCTAGACTAAAATGTAGCGTATGTTCAATGACTTTGTCACCATTATACACCATAGATGGGGGTAAGTAATTCATTTTATAAAGGTATAAGAACACACAAGACATAAGAGGGCCACACCAATAACTAAACTCAAGCCTGCTCAGTATTTATTTCATTATAAATTTTTAATTGTTTAATTTAGATTTCACGAGTAAAAATGCCAACATTTAATCATTATTTGATCAATATTTCCAAAACAATTGTGAACAAAATGAGTGAGAAAGATCGAGGCTATTTTGGGCTTGAAAATGTGTATTAAAGTCAGATTGAATGTCTTCAGTATCTCAGTGTATGGATTTGTTAAACTTTATCTCTGAAAAATGTTTGTTTACATAAAAAGGTTGAACGAAGAGAGCCAGCATCTTCTGAGCAAGGTTCCCTACATGTGGAAAGTTCTTGCCTCTGAGAGGAAAATAGAAATCCAGCACTCAGACTAAATGGAAGATTGTTCTGCTACTAATAAATCAAAAATCAAAATATTTTGATTCAGCGTTCTCGCCTGATGATGGTAACTATTTTAGTTACAACACCTCAACTCTTGGAAAGGGCACCTGCTAATATGCTTCTTTTTTCTCAGGGTATATTTGTGTTGCCCATCAAGTACTCTGATAAATTCCCCATCAGATATATATTTTTTGCAGTTTTGTAGGAACCTGCAATTTTTATTTCACCCAACATTTGTCTGGCCTCACATATACCAAAGGAAACACACTGGACCTGGTTTTTACTTTTATTATTTACATTTAATAAGGACTGTATTTGTTCTGGGGACATCTTTATTTGTGATCATCATGTTACTGTGTGGTTAGCGCTCGCGTCTTACATTCCTGTGCGGCTGTGAAATTCCCTGCTTTTGAACAGTCTTATTCCTTCACAATGACCAACAGTGGTTTTACGATCTTCTTTCCATTTCAGATAACATATATCGTGTTACAGTGAGGTCAGCTCCTGTTTCAAAATCTTTACTTTAGACAAATGACAGGATTTGCAGTTTAAAGTGTTCTTGTCAAAAAGTGGAGCATTTGTTGAACTCAACTCATTTATACATTCACCTGCTTCGATTAAAGGATGATGCATTATAGAAAGATTTTGACATGTTTAATTGTATAGTTAGCACTTTTTTGGCTAAGTGCCTACTCATTTTAAGAATCCCGCCACTTAAAAAGCAAACAAAAACAAGCTTAACAAGTTTCTCTCATTTACAGGCCAATCTAAAATTATTTTTTATGCAAAGATGTTAGAGAAGGGTGTGGCTAAAAGCTTACAGCTGTTTTGGACAAATACAGCTTTCTGGATCATTTTCAGTCCGTCTTTAATCAAGCTCATTTAACTGGAACAGGTCTTCCTCCTTTGATCCAATGATGAAGAAGAATGTTCTGTTTTGTTTGACCTGACCTCTGCCCTTTGAACTGCTGACTACTACATGCGTGGTGCTTGTATCTGGGTCTGCTTTGGATTGGTTCTCCTTATATCTGTCTGAACAGTCCTTTCCTGTGTTGTTTCCCAGTACAGGTCCTCTTCCACCTCTCTTGCCTATAATGTGCCATAACGTTCCACCTGGGGGCTTTTATTGTATTTGTTAAATCTTCTCCCTTTTCAGCACATTTTGAGCACCTTTAAGAACTTTTTTTTTTTTATCACTGATATGATGATGTTTCTCCAGTCTAGAAAAAAAAGTGCTATATTAAAAAAAAACCAACATTTTAACTTTGACACCGATGCAGCCCGAGCAGATCCCTGTGATCAGAGAACTAAAGCTTTTACCACAGTGACTCTGGAACTCTTTCCCACTGAGCCTGTGACCTGTGGACTCATCTGTGCTGTTTTTTTACAAAGCAGCTAAAAAACAAAAACTTTTGGGGGAAACCTTTTGTCCCTTTTTGTTTTTTACTGTTTTTGTTCTGAAGCTCTTTGTGATATTTATCTTGGAAAGAATTATATAAATAAAAATGTTCTTAACTAAATGAAAAAGCTGGTCTTGATTGTTCCATCCCTGCATGTGTAAAGTTTGGTTAAAAAGTCCTTGTTGTAATGCAGCTTTGCTAAACAAGGTTTGTCTATTCCCACTCTGCGTCAGTCAAGTTCTTGCATTTCTTGATTCAAATTGCAGTAAATAAATACTTAGAAGACTGGGGTTAGGCTAAATGGTGATTTTAAATTGCCCATAGGTTTGAATGTGAATTTGAATGGTGGTCTGTCTCTCTGTATTAGCCCTGCAGCAGACTGGCAACCTGTCTATGGGTGCACCCTGCCTCTCGCCCTGAGACAGCTTGGATAGACTAAAGATTTTATATATACAGTGGGGCAAAAAAGTATTTAGTCAGCCACCGATTGTGCAAGTTCCCCCACCTAAAATGATGACAGAGGTCAGTAATTTGCACCAGAGGTACACTTCAACTGTGAGAGACAGAATGTGAAAAAAAAAAAAAAAAAATCCATGAATCCACATGGTAGGATTTGTAAAGAATTTATTCGTAAATCAGGGTGGAAAATAAGTATTTGGTCAATAACAAAAATACAACTCAATACTTTGTAACATAACCTTTGTTGGCAATAACAGAGGTCAAACGTTTACTATAGGTCTTTACCAGGTTTGCACACACAGTAGCTGGTATTTTGGCCCATTCCTCCATGCAGATCTTCTCGAGAGCAGTGATGTTTTGGGGCTGTCGCCGAGCAACACGGACTTTCAACTCCCGCCACAGATTTTCTATGGGGTTGAGGTCTGGAGACTGGCTAGGCCACTCCAGGACTTTCAAATGCTTCTTACGGAGCCACTCCTTTGTTGCCCGGGCGGTGTGTTTTGGATCATTGTCATGTTGGAAGACCCAGCCTCGTTTCATCTTCAAAGTTCTCACTGATGGAAGGAGGTTTTGGCTCAAAATCTCACGATACATGGCCCCATTCATTCTGTCCTTAACACGGATCGGTCGTCCTGTCCCCTTGGCAGAAAAACAGCCCCATAGCATGATGTTTCCACCCCCATGCTTCACAGTAGGTATGGTGTTCTTGGGATGCAACTCAGTATTCTTCTTCCTCCAAACACGACGAGTTGAGTTTATACCAAAAAGTTCTACTTTGGTTTCATCTGACCACATGACATTCTCCCAATCCTCTGCTGTATCATCCATGTGCTCTCTGACAAACTTCAGACGGGCCTGGACATGCACTGGCTTCAGCAGCGGAACACGTCTGGCACTGCGGGATTTGATTCCCTGCTGTTGTAGTGTGTTACTGATGGTGACCTTTGTTACTTTGGTCCCAGCTCTCTGCAGGTCATTCACCAGGTCCCCCCGTGTGGTTCTGGGATCTTTGCTCACCGTTCTCATGATCATTTTGACCCCACGGGATGAGATCTTGCGTGGAGCCCCAGATCGAGGGAGATTATCAGTGGTCTTGTATGTCTTCCATTTTCTGATGATTGCTCCCACAGTTGATTTTTTCACACCAAGCTGCTTGCCTATTGTAGATTCACTCTTCCCAGTCTGGTGCAGGTCTACAATACTTTTCCTGGTGTCCTTCGAAAGCTCTTTGGTCTTGGCCATGGCGGAGTTTGGAGTCTGACTGTTTGAGGCTGTGGACAGGTGTCTTTTATACAGATGATGAGTTCAAACAGGTGCCATTCATACAGGTAACGAGTGGGGGACAGAAAAGCTTCTTACAGAAGACGTTACAGGTCTGTGAGAGCCAGAGCTTTTCCTTGTTTGAGGTGACCAAATACTTATTTTCCACCCTAATTTACGAATAAATTCTTTACAAATCCTACCATGTGAATTCATGGATGTTTTTTTTCACATTCTGTCTCTCACAGTTGAAGTGTACCTCTGGTGCAAATTACTGACCTCTGTCATCATTTTAAGTGGGGGAACTTGCACAATCGGTGGCTGACTAAATACTTTTTTGCCCCACTGTATCTCCTAAACACAAACACCAAATCATGCACACTGCTCATAAGTAGATGAAGATGAACACACGCACAAAAAAACTACAAATAGGCAAATTAATTAAATGGCCTATTTTATTTTTAAAATGTCCACTAATTAATATTAAAATATGAGCAGTTTAGAAAAGAAAGAATTCAAAATGATGAGTACTAATGTCAAGATAAAAGCAACACTCCTGTACATCACAAGGTAAATGCAGTGTCAAATGAACACCAGTAAAACCAAAAACAACAAGGACAAACAAGGAACAAAAGAAAAGAATAGCCCTTTATTGTTGTTGTACATGTACAATGAAATTCTGGGTGTCCACACCAACTGTGCTGAAACAAAAAAGAAATAGTAGACAGCAGGAAGAAATATAAAACAGGAGAAATAAATACAATCAAGTGGGATATAAAGTATACAAAACAAGAGAATGTATCCAAAAATGAGAGAGAGAATAGGCCCACATTACAAAACAAGATGCAAAATGCTTGGAAGTGGTGCAAAGAGAAGACCGAATAGAGTGGCCTGTGTGTGATTGGCCTGAGTGATGGGGGCTACTCAAACCATGGCTCAGATTGGTGAGGTGGGTGGGGTAGTGTTGTTGACGATCTGAATGGACCAGAGGAAGAAGCTGTTTGTGAGTCTCACTGACTTGAGGAGCCGACCACACCACTGCTGTGTCATCTGCAAACTTCACTATGAGGTTATTGCTGAAATTGGCTTTGCAGTCATGTGTGAGCAGGGTTTAGAGAAATGAGCTGAGGACTCAGCCCTGAGGGGAGCCAGTGTTGTAGATAAAGGATGGATAAACATGTGATGGTGTTGATCCTAACAGATTGAGGTGTGTTAGTATTGAGTTTTTGCAGTATCATCCTTAACTCTGCTGATATCCCACTGAAAGATGAGTCATCCAGGGCCCATTTTCTGGGAAAATCATCACTTGCACCAACTCTCTGTGGCTTTGGAGTTTGCCCATTCTCTGACCCAGGCTAAGGAGACGCTCCAAGCCCTGTTCATCACCTCCACATTCCCAATTCCTCCACCTCGCAGCAGTAGCAGCAGGAAATCCTTTCCACATCACAGTAGCAGTGGACAAGCCTTCCCACGTTGCAGCAGCAGCAGCAGTGACCCAACTCCTTGAGTCCCTCCTCGTTCACATCACCGCCACAGCTAAATCTCACCTCCTGCAGTTCTCGGCCCAACCATTCTTATGGATTTAACCACCATCCTTCTGATCAGCAGATGACCTGCTGAGCTACAGCCACCCCATGAGTGTAACCGTATTAAAAAATGCACACAAATGCTTGGTGGCATCTTTGAGTAACCAGCTACAATGTGGGAAATAGGGCAGTTAGTGATATTCTTCTATTACTGACAGTGAACATCACTCATTCACTCCTGTAGGCTGTGGACTGTTCCTTTCATTAGTGGATATGTTGCCTTTTGATTCATTAAATGAACTCACATCTCTCCGTATACTGCTCCAGTAAGCAAGGTGCAAACATTAAAAATTACCACAGAGGAGAATATTGCTGTTGTTATGAACATCCAGGGTGCTCCACATTTCATATTAATGGCCTGCAGCTCCGACTAATTTTGAAAAACCACCCTGGGGAGCAGGAAGTGTTTAGAGAAGCTTGATTCAATTCACAGGTATTTTACAACAGACTTCAGCTGTCTGTGAAAGGAACTGGATCGATTAGTGGCACAATTCATTCACTCTCCTAACCGCCCCCTTTCCATCAAACTTGCATGACCTATTGCTGGCAGCATCTTGACAGAGCATAGAAGGTTCACAGAGGATATAAGTAGAGGCAGAGGAAACACCACCAGCAGCTACCCTGAACCTTCTACTCTCTCATCGTCTCTGCAGGCGCCAGGCTTACAGGACCTGTGATACCATGAAGGTAGGTGGAAGGCATGAAACGTTTGCAGTATTTTGGTGGAAGGAATTTATTTATTTTTCTTTTAAAACAGGTTTCATTGGAAATTTTTTTTTAAATATCTGGGCTTTTTGCATCCTCAAAAAAGTGAAATGCATTCTTTCTTGAAAATGTCATTTAGGAAAATGTTATCTTAACTAAACATTTTAATATCTCACTTTCTAAAAGATGAATCAATCAGCAATATCAAAGTAATTTTGGAGATGTCCTCACTAAAAGTTCACTTTTTTCTTTGTATTCACAGATATATTGCATATACACATTTTTCACTGAGGCTTCACAGTTACTGAGTTAATTATTAAAAGATTTCTTCAAGTGAATATAAAGGCACATATCTGAGTGAGTCGGTCTGTGAGGAAGATGAAGGATGCTGATGACATGATTTGATCATTTCTTTTTTGCTGACAGGGTTTGAAGACTGTCACAATAGCGTATGTACTCACACTTTTATTACTGGCAACATTTATCTCCCAGTCACGGAGCACGCCAAAGGTACGGCTGGTTTGATTTAATTTTTTTCCCCTGTTGAACTGCTTTGTTACAAGATTACCAAAACAATTATTCATATTCTGACAGTATTCTAAAGTCATAAAAATATCTCCAGCTTTGAGCTTCAAATACTATTTCTTCTATAAAGGGCTCATTCCAGCGAAGAAACTGGACCCCGCAGGCTATGCTGTACCTCAAGGGCACCCGTATGTATCTAGCTACTGACATAATAGGAACAGGGTGACGATAAACATTTACTGTCACCATTTATCTACTTATTTAGTTAGTTATGTAAATAAACCATAAAGTTGTTTTTAAAAACATTTTTTCAGAGGGAAGAAGGTTCATCTCAGAGGACCGAAAAGAAGGAGATGTCTACGACACTCTTCACCTAGGTACAATAAAGTATCCTGTAAAATGTAATAACAAATCCATCCATCCATCCATTCGCTTCCGCTTGTCCTTTTCAGGGTCGCGGGGGGCGCTGGAGCCTATCCCAGCTGTCATAGGGCGAGAGGCAGGGTACACCCTGGACAGGTCGCCAGTCTGTCGCAGGTCTAACACACAGGGACAGACAACCATTCGCACTCACATTCATTCGCACATTCACACCTAGTGACAATTTGGATTATCCAATTAACCTATCCTCACAAGCTGCATGTCTTTGGACGGTGGGAGGAAGCCGGAGTACCCGGAGAGAACCCACGCAAACACGGGGAGAACATGCAAACTCCACACAGAAAGACCCCGGCCTGATGGTGGAATTGAACTCAGGACCTTCTTGCTGTGCGGCAACAGTGCTAACCACCGTGCCACCGTGCTGCCCTTTGTATAATAAGTAATAACAAATGAATAATTTTTTTAAAAAAAAGTAAAGAACCCTTAGTCATCATTGGTGATAACCATAACTAATTTGAAAGCAAAATAGCCTCTTGAAAAAAATGAAAATGGTTTTGGATATGTGTGGGCGGGGGGGAAACATTTTGATTGCACAGGGCTTATGGTAAACACTGATGGTGACTTAGACCTCACAGAGTTAACTTTCATTAAGAATGACAAAAAAAAAAAACTTTCCATGTTTATACACAGTAAGTGGTTTTCATGGCGGACCTTGACCTGCAATCACCTTCAGGACTGTGTTGTGTTTTCTTGATTGTCAGAGACTCGTAGTCACAACACAGAGAAGCTGACTGTGGACCAGGCTGCTGCTGTTCTGCTTAATTTCCTACAGCAAGCTAGAGAGGGAGGTGAGAGCAGAATCTGGACCTATGGGTTCTATATACACGTTTTTCAAATGTATGTTTTTCATGCTTTGAGCATCACAAGATGCCATGATGGCCACTTCAGCTGTTTTTGAGAGAAGGTAGATATTTCTAGAGCTGACTGGGTAACTCATATACTGTACACTGTCATAGTGCAACTCCGACCAAATATACAAAAAAAAATGATTAACTGTCCTTTAATATCTCTGTGAGAAAACAGATGATTTAGGTGTTAGAGTTCAAGTTGTGGGAACTATGGTAGTTGTCAGCATGGCTGTGTCATTGCAGTTTTATGAAGGTTTTTTGCAACACAAATTTGCCTTTATGCCCTAATAAAGAAAAGAGATTGAATTTTTTTTTTTAAATTTGTTCCAGTTCGAATAAACTTCAGATTGTAGTGAAAAGGCAATAATAGAAAAAAAAAAAAATCTCAAATCTTGTGGCATTTAGTTCAAAATGTGTGTTTTGTTCTTCTTTTTGCTCAATTTCAATTCCATACTTTCTTTTACCGTTCCTCTCTTCTAGCTGATGAAAACGCAGATGAGGTGTATATCCAGGAGCTACCAGTGTGGAAGAGGGAATATTTCTAATGTTTGTATCATTGCCAGACAACCTCTGATTTGTTCTGTGTGGGGGAAAAGGAAGCTGTAAATATAAATTCTCTAAATATGAAATGTGATGTTTTAATAAAAAGAGTTTAATTGAAACTGTTTGGGGCAAATTTTCTACTTTTATGGGCAGTGTTATTTTTCAGGTATATAATCAATCCCTGTAAAACAAAATCAAGAAGCTCCAGATTTCAAAAATATGAATCAAGAATTTAAACAGAACTGAAATTAGGTTACTTGGAAATTCAAGGAAAGATAAGTGTAAACGTGACGATAAATAATAAAATAGAGTACATCAGAATTTTTGCAATATTAGACCACAAGATTACCTTGGAAAACTCAAAACATATACAAACCATTTCAGTCCAGAGTGAAGCAAAGCGTCTTTTGAATCAAATCACGTCATGTAGCTTGTTCCCTTATATTGCCATATTTAAACTACTGTGTAGAGGTGTGTGGTAACACCAAAGTGCACTGTAAAAATTGTGTACTTTAAAAAAAAAAAAAAAAAAAGGGCAATAAGTAGTCGTTAGATTTTGCCCATCACTTTCTTATGTGAAGTGGTAGTTGCATCATCCTAGTGATTCCAAATGTCACTTGTGCAACAAGTCCAATCACAAAAAGTCAGTGGATACTGAGACGCATAGTTTACAGATTTAACCAAATTTTTGCAAAGTCAAATGCTGCAGACCTTCCAACCTCAACTTTTCGGCCTTCAGATTAGCTCAGTGGTCCCTTTGTTCAGTGTAAAGTCCACGTCTGTGTTATACTTCCTGTTTTACTTTGACAGTCCCTCGTCTCATCTCATCGTTTTTGGTTTTGCTTTCTCTAATCTGAAAAATAGTCTTCTAAAATTAAAAGGCTACAGTGTCAAATTCATTGCTCATTCTAAATTGCTCCTAAAGCGCAACCCTCTATCGCTTCATGCAAACAAACAAACGAATGGAAAGCCTGTGACAGACACTTTGTTCTACTCAAGTTTATTTTAAATAACTGTAATGTTCAGTTAGCATTTTTCAGACTCTGCTTGACTAAAGTTATTTTGGCGAGCTAGCATTTGAAGACAGATGATAAACTTAGATTTAACCTTTCTACAAACTTTATAAAAAGTTTGTTATGCAGGGTGGACTTTATTGCCTGGCAGCAGAATAAGTGTAACAATTGTTAACAAAAGGTGATGATGTGGGGGGGGGGGGGGGGGGGGTTCGTCATTACTGTGGTGTAGACTGTGGGGCTAACCAGGCAGTGACCCCCCCCCCCACCGCACACATTTGTCTGTCAAGTCCATCCAACTGTAAAGGCCATAGCTACTCTGGAGCATTTCAGTTTCTTGACTCTCCTGGTTGCTGCTTCTTCCCCTCTGGCACAGCATTGAGCACAAATGGAGATTTGATATTCATCCGGTCCCTCTCGGCCTCCTCATCTTCATCATAGGGTTCATCATCGTCATCCTCAACATCACTGTGGTGGGGCGTGGAATGGATAGAGGCAGAAGGAGAGGGTGGAACCGAGTAGGGCCGGGGATACCGGAAACCCTCCGTCTGTGGAGACAAATGAGCCCAGTCACTGTAAGTCAGTGATTCCTAAACAGATCTGTGAATTTTGCTACGCTAATCTAAAGTTGAAGTAGATCGTTAATTATGATTAGTGTGTGAACTCTTACCAGGTGAGCAGAGGAGCCTAATAAAGTAAAAAGGAAGCTGGCAGGCTGGCCTAGAACCATGAAATGCTCATTTTTATCTGATAATCGCTTAGAAACATTGGATTTAAAAAGCACTCTTAAATACTTAGGAAATTCTTGTTACAGCAGTTGACTTCATCAAGAAAAGAAAACAAACAACAACAAAATGTATATAGTTGTAGTATTTCAGACTCCCAGTTTGCATCCAGTCACAGAACTAACCTTCCTAATCTGTTTATTCAGTCTGTTGGCATCACCAGCTCCACTCCGCTCTCCACAAGAAACTGACAGAAATTCTCCAGAAGTATCTCAGCTCCCTTAGGAAATAGAGGATGCTCACCCCCTTCTTGTATACAGCCTCTGTGTTGGTCTTCCAATTCAGCCTTTTAATGTAGAAGTATCTGGATGTCAACTCCTGCACCACAGCGGCATCTTGTCCTACGATAGACACGGGACGTGTAGCCACCATCTTCGTTTAGATATCCATCACCTTTCTGGTCTTTTCCCACATTCAGAAGCAGAGGATTTCTCTGCTCCAAAAAAATGATCCACCAGTCCTGTGTACTCCTCTTGTTCCCAACATATCCAATCACTACAAAAATCAGTATTTCTGGCGATGTCATGAGCCAGATTTTTATGTCTGATTTTAAGTGGGATGTGTACAAGGACAACAAGAATGGACGCAGCAAGTTCCCCTTGGAGTTGCTGTATTGAACATTAGACAAACTATCTCACATACCGCAGTTTGTCAGTTAGACTGTGATACATGAGATCCTGAGATGTTTACTAACATTTCCTGTATGTCTCTCTTAATCTGACTGAATTGTGTTAAACTTGATAAATAAAACAAGATGACCCTCAGCAAGCATCTAGATGGAAGCAAGGCTTATGTAGAGACCAAATATGAGAGTCGACAATGCAATCAATCTACCTGCCACAATCTGAAGAGGGTCAAGTGATGTTTTCATGGACCATAACAAGTCTCTCAGACTTTCTCACATGTGATGTGAGGGCCGCTGATCATTAGGATCCGATGGCATCAACTTGTTTGGTACAAGAACCACACAGAATTTAGTAACGCCAGTACATTTCTCATGCTTTCAATTAGGTTGTAAATGTAACACAGGATCACAGCTAGCTAGCAAAGGTCCTAGCCTCATGAGAACTGAGGGGAAAGGAAGAATAAAAAAAAATGTAAAAAAAATGAAGTTTTTCTGTTTAACATTTTTTTGTCATTTCCTGCCTCTTTGGGCAAAAAGAGGCCAGCCAAACACACGAGAAAGGCCAGGATGTCCTCTGAGCACAAAAGGGGATCAGACATAATCCCCACAAACAGTAAACTCTTTAAATCACTTCACAAAGCTCTACTTTCTCCTCAACACTTACTCTACATAAAGTTTTGTGCACAACTATGATCAAAATCCCTTGTAAAGGATTCCTTACCTTCAGAGGGGCCATGGGATCCATCTTGAACTTGTCTGGGAAAGCTCTACTAAGGGCCAGGTGACGTGCATGTATGTAGAACTGTCAAACAAGCCAGAAATACATTAAGAACTGAACAAACATTTCAATGAAAGATTTGCAATGTGGGCGTCTGAACTACCACCTCTAATTAATCTTGACCATAAGAATACATCCTTCAGTAACGACGAAAGTAGTTTTAAAGTTGGTGCATGCTTTGTTCTACATATGGACCAATTATGAAATCTTGTATGCTTGTTTTGCAATCATCTTGGAGGTCAGCACGTTATCCTGTTAAAGGAGAGGGTGAACTATATAGCAGATCAATACATGGCACATTGTACCACAGTTCACAGGAGCCAAAGCATGGTAGCCCTATATTTGACTTGTGTAAGTGGAATAGCCTAGCACAACCAAAGTTGGCAGCTTGCTGTTCACTGTTGTATACCTGTATCTGGTAAACGGCAAAAGCAGTAATGAAATTGATTATTTATTGGCTGAACCAGAATATAGTTCAGTAGTAGACTCCCGTTTTCTCTGATTGTGTCCTGTTCTGACTTTAACCAAGTAACTATTCAGGGCTTCAGAATCAGAAACCGACCCGTCCCAGGTATCTCCAGTCCAGAAGGTCAGACAGCCTCTCAGTTCGGTTGCGCTGGATGATACGCTGCCGCCGAGACTGCTGGCAGAAACTGAACATGAACTGAGTTAGCTGGTTGCAGGACTCCTCAGCAGAACGGAAGCGTCGGTCCACTATATAGATACCTGACAGAGAGGAGGAGGGGGGAAAGAACATAATCCATAAGGATGAACACACATAATTCACAGTGTTTGTGCACCCATGAGTGTGAATGCACTCACACACCATATGCAGCAGGGTCCGACACGTGCTCCTCCATGAAGCAACCAAAACCTGACAAATTGGTGGTCACACTAGGAATGCCCATTACAGTACACTCACCTGGAGAACAGAAGACAGAAGCCCTAAACAATATGCACAGGGGAAGTATAAAGCATTTGTGTAGAAACATGTATGCCTGGCTACAACATGAGGATGGTCAGTCTACCAGGTGTGTAGCCCCATGGTTCATAGTAGGAAGGGAACACTCCAAGGTTACAACCACGGACAAAATCCTCGTAGTCCATTGGCAGCAGAGGACTAGTCGAGGACAAGAACTCCGGGTGGAAAACAACCTGAGAGGGTGACACACAGATAAGAGTTGCCCATGTCCTTATTTGGCAGCATAGCACAAATTAAAACATAAAAGTTAAGCCAGTTTGTTTGTTTTTAATAACTACAAGTTAATAGATTAAAGACCAACTGTGTAGTCACAGTAGATCTCTCCACATTTTAGATATATATTTTAAAAATTAATATCTATCTCCATCAATAGAGAGATCGAGAGATCTTATCACACCTGACATGGCTGACATAATGTTTTGTTTACCTTGACACGGTCGTTCCTGGAGTTGAAGAGGCCAACACGTCTGATGTTGGACAGGATGGGATCTGCTGAGTCGTCCAGCATGTTGTGAGTGGTTACTGGAGGGAGGCTGTGCCTCTGCAAGCCAAGAGGTTAAAGTATGCGATTAGGATAGATAAACATAAAAGTGAGGAATTCAATTGACCCCTGAGTGATTTTAAAAAGTGCCTGGTGACCAGGCCCTTAGGCAATGGGGTCCAGTCAGATGCAGCCCAAAGAAGCTACACTGGCTTCCCTCCAGTAGGTCCACCACCTGCAGGTTAGGGTTAGAAGGCGCTATAGGCATTGGGTACATTGTGTGACAGGCGATGTTCAAAGGCAAAGGCTCTACAGGAGGGCGGTGGTCCAGTCTCCAGATACCAGGGCTGGCTAGGAAATAAAACATCACATCTCTGGTGGAATTGAAGCCTGAGCTTGTGAGAGGTTGAGAGATATCAACTAGATATAGTCAGGATCTGGAACCATCCTTGACAGGAGCTGGACTCTGTTCTAGTCCAGAGCTGCCCTAAGATGTTAGGAGGAATCTGGTATCAGGCATCGAAACCAGAGGAGAAGATACGGACCCATCATCTCATGTGGAATGTGAGATTTCTTCACAGTAACGTGGATGAATTGGTGGCCCTGGCATCAGTGGGCATCTTATCCGTCCAATTAACCACACTAACACCAAAAAGTAAGACAGTCCATGTTTATCTGCATCTAATCCAGGCTGACCAAGGAGAGCAGAAATAAGACAAGGGGGGGGGGGGGTCTGGCTGTGTTTCTGAATGATAAGTGTCCAGAGTTACACCATCTAACTATCAAAAAGACACTCTGCAGTAAGGACATTGAGCTGGTAAGCTAGTAGAATGAGGCCGTATTATCTACTGTGGGAGTGTACATATGTTATCGTGATAACATGTCTTCCTTCTCTCGCCCCAACCAGTTGCAGCAGATGGCCCCGCCCCTCCCTGAGCCTGGTTCTGCCGGAGGTTTCTTCCTGTTAAAAGGGAGTTTTTCCTTCCCACTGTCGCCAAAGTGCTCATAGGGGGTCATATGATTGTTGGGTTTTACTCTGCATGTATTATTGTAGGGTCTACCTTACAGCAACTGTTGTGATTTGGTGCTGTATGAACTTCAATTGAAGATTGAATAACTGCATGTGCCGCACTCTCTGCTAATACTGCGACAGCCTGCGATGTTATCCACACTGTTAACAGCAGACTACAAAAGGACCCACAAATTAAATGAACAGAGCAAGATGACAATTTAAAAAAAATAAAATTGTATTATGTTATATGAAATTCAAAATAAAATATTCCAGCATAGCTTTAACATTTGAGTCAAAATGAAAGTTATATCTTTAATGTTGTTGAAATAAGTTATCCTGAAATTTGTATGTGCCTAAATGTAATAGTGGCGCAACCATAAACATGGCCCTTTATGTAGTAAAAAGGTCGTTTCTGTCTGGTTGAAAAGATCCCAATTTCCACATCATTTTACAGATATTAACATTTTCTTATCAAGAGTGTCACCTTAGGTGTAAAGATTTCAGCTGAACACAGTTTGTCTTGGGAAACAATACACTGGTACAATTTACTGATATTAATCTTTCTAAGTCATCATCAATAAGGACTAATGGTAGTCAGTTACTTGAAAGAGGGGAAGTAGAATTAAAGATTATTTCACGCACACACGCACACCTGTGTGGCGTAGATGGCTCTCTTCATAATGGTGAAGTCATCTCGGTCCAAAATGTTGTTGAGATCAGGGATCTGCCCTCTAATGAAAGAAGACATACATACATCATCATCATCGATCTGCAAATTTACACAACACTTTGATATCAACATCAAATACCTCAGCAAGTAGAAATACTTACTTTAACAGAGCATCATACAGCTTTTTACCAAATTTCTCCTTAACAGCATGAGCTGTATCCCTGTTAAAAGCAAAGGAAATCTATCACCACTGCAGTTGTTAGTTTGAAGCACCAACAGTAACAGAAAATCATTATTATTTAGAGTTTAAGAGTTAAAGCAGGGAAGGAGCAAAGTTCCTAAGTTGCATTTTTGCTGAACCATGCCCACCTTGGCAACCACTCATGAGGAAGTACACATTTTTTAAATCAATGTTGGATAATGACGAGTCTTTCAGTACAGCTTCCTAATGGAGGTAAACACTTTGTTCAGGCTGCAGTTAAATCAGGTTTGTGTTTCAAATCAGATCAATACCAGGCTGTCTCAAACTGTCTGCTATTTACAAGTGAAGATTGGATTTGTCTGATGTGTCGTGGCTGCCCAGAAAGGTCGATAAGCCCAAGCTTGAAGCAATAAATGTTGTGCAGGTGATCACCACAAACAGGTGGCGAACAGCTACACGAGAAGTTCAGGGAACTTGAGCATCAGTAGCGCCTAAAAATAAATTCTCCTAACAACACTCCTTTGTCTCATTCATTAGTGCACTTTCTTCCTTATTACCTGTTGGCATACAGCCTCTGCTTTTGCATGGCAACAACAACATGGCAGAGACAACTTAGAAGGCCCTGCAATTCCCAGGCTCCATTTCAGATTTCATTCATGTGCCGTTCTTTATAGCCTTCTTCTAAATTGGGAGGCAGATGCACTACAACCTGTGGGATTTACAATTTTGCCAAAAACTGCAGCTCCCCAAGTGATCAGTGAGGGAGAAAAATCCCAACAGATTTCCAGATCCCCCCCTCCCCGGGTATTGTTCATCACATTTAGAGTATATAATGAAAAAAAAAAAAATGGATGTACTGTACAGAATTATTTAATTGCTACAAATAATCAGCAAAGCAGGACGTACCAAAGCTGTTTACGTACTGCCTGCCCCTTCAGTGACTCCACATTGAAGTTGTTAGTTTTCGCTGGCATGATGAAGAAAACTACGACCGTCACATCGTTTCGGTGGACCTGCAGAGACGGTGACGATAGGTTTCCATTAGATGTGTACAACACAACACTACCAAAAAGGCACAAAACAAACACGGCCTCACCCGCAGCAGATAGTTCAGTCTGGACAGTGATTCAAGGAAAATATCTGCTCCTTTGTTTGAGAACTCATAGCGCCCAGCAATGAAGAAGATGAGGGTTTTATCCAAGTTGAAGTCCAGGTGACTACCGAGATAATAAAGATTAATAAAATGAAATTTTCAATTCATTTTATGAAGTACAACAAACTTCGAGAGCTGCCAGGACTACTTTTTAATAAAGCAACAAACCCATAGAAGTGTCCCCTGATAAACTCCTGGATTTGGGCCTTGTTGGTGGAGTGCAGGTTTTGAAACTCATGCATGGCTGAGAACTTCTTCACATTCAGCCCATTTGGGGTGACCACATCTGTACCAACAAAGGAAAAGATGGTTTTATTCATTTTCCGTTGACAGCGGTATCAAAATTACTTTGTGTTTAGCTTCAACATTTTATTTCAAACTTGAAGGTATTTTTGCCATCAATCCCTGGAATACAGTTGTGTGACTGTGTGAACATCATACAGAAACTGATTACTTCAAGTTACTGTTGCTAGTTATCACTACAAATGAGTCAATCATGATATGTATTTATCTACAGGACTGTAGTGTGATTTGTAAAAACATTTCTTGCATGACTGTGTTGCATGGATCGTCAGAAAACCAATAGACAACGTAAAACTACGTTCTTGTGGAGATAGTATAGTGAAAAATTTCCACCTGGTTTCCTGTGCAGCATGTGGTTGGCCTCCACAGCAGTGATCTGAGAGACTGTCGTGAAGACGTGAGCACAGTGAACTGCTGCTCTCTCTAAGCAGTATCGGTGGTAGATCTGCCTCTCACCAGCCTCCTTGTCAATGTTAAACTGCCACACACAATTTTTAAAAACAGAAAAAACAAAAACATTCATTTTACTTTACAAAACCTGTTTAATTATCAAGCTTTTTTTTTTTTTTTTTAAACCTGCCCAGAGCAGCAGAATATTTTTCTGAATGCCTTTTTTTACCAAATATATTTGCTGTAACAAGAGGAGCCTACAGAGGGTCTACTTTTCTCATCTGAATGTTTTTGTTGCAATTATTTTAAAAAAGAAAATATTATTCATATTATCGCTTGTGGATATAATGCTGGAGTGGACAGAGGGTGAAGACTAGGCAAAAGACAGGAGAAGTGGAAGAATAGAAGGGACAAAAAAAAGAGGGAGAGATAGATGCAAACAGACGTGCTTCCTCTGTAACAAAGTACACCAACGATACAACACCTAAAAGACAAAACAGAGGGAGGTACACAAACAAATACAGAGTTATGCTGTGTGTGGATGCGAGCGTGCATACATGTTTAAATGAGCAAGAGAGGACACGAGTGTCCGAGTATGAGCGTTTGTCATGAAACATACTGGGAAAATGAGGATGAGACTGCACCAGTTTAGTTCACCGCATCCTCATTAATCCTACAAGGCAAGATCTCGACTACCCTCGTGGGACCACAAAAAGGTTTGGTTATAACAGCATGTATAATTATCAATTTCAGGCATAGTTGAGCATAAACAAGAGCATAATAAAATATTGCATTTCATTTATTCAATTAAATGAATTTAAAAAAAATCTCTTTTAAAGTTCATTTACAGTTTGTAAGTCTGGAAATGATCCTGCTTTGTTTTACCACATTGGCTGCATTTTCTGACTCTCAGTTAACAAGATTCCATCGACAGAATAAGTGATGGTCCTAAGAATCATCTGTCAATTATCCATTCGGTCAAGGAGTAACCTTTAGCTCCACATTGACCTTTAGCTTGTGTGGCCAATTACAAACATTGCATTGACATCTCCAAATGTAGCTCAACATTACTAATGATGCTCTAAGTAGTCCTAAAAGAGCTAAACCTTTAAATATGAGCATAAATCTTATGGCTGGTCATTGTAGGCAGAGAGGCGCGAGTGTGAGTTGCACGCGTATTTTGTGATGGACGTGGGGTGCCAGGAGACAGACTCTTAAGAACTTTGCTTTTTGTTCTGTTTTCATAGGTACACTGCAATAGGCCTCAGCATGCTGTGGGCTTCTCTTCTTCGCTCACTTTTTGCATTTCATATTGTAGTGTAAAGGCCGTGCAATATGAAATATAAAAGTGATTACTATTGTGATTTGATAATATAAATAACATGCCTACTGTAGTGCCCCTATGTTTACAAACACTGATGTTTTTCCCCTTCTATTAGGGTCAAAAGGATTTAAGTACTACCCAATTCAACTATCTGAAATTTATTTATAATGAATCTAATATGCACATTGTAGGCAACATATCAGCTGTAAAGATCAAGCTCTGATTCACAATAAAACATTGACAAATTTCCCTGCCTATATTATTAACTAGAGTCATAAGAAGGGAATGGCTTGGTGTCCATGACAGTTATAGGCCAACTACAAACAGTGTTACTATGTGTCTGTTTGCTGTAAGGCAGTTCTCTTGTTCTCTCACCTTGTCCAGGTTGTTGTAAAAGTCAGTGTTCCCAGCACAAAGGTATCTTCCCAGCAGGGTGGCATGTGTTGTGAATACTGTCGCCATTGGAATTTTGCGTGAGCGAGAGAGAATAAGTCCAGGACCTGCCTGCCATTCATGGAAGTGACTGATGACATTAGGTTTGTCTCCAAGGTGGTCTGTCAACTAAAAACACAAAAGAAAGCTGCCATGTTTACTTATGCCAACCATCTCAGTGATGCATATTGAGATTTATTTATCTTTATAAATCCAAAACTCAGCATAGGAGCCAACAAGACAATTAGGTTCACTTATAATGCACCTCTTTGAAGAACCATGCAATAAGGGAGCCCAAAATGAGCGAGTCATTGGCTTCTCGGTCATGGAAGGGCAGACCAATGTTGCAGGTGTCCCAAAGGTCCCCTTTCCAGCGGTCCAGGTTCCAGGCTGCTGAGCCTATGTCAAACAGGATTACGTAGGGGCTGCCCTCAATCAGCCAGCGACCAAAATGAACCTGCATTAAAAACAAGTTCAGCTTTATTAGGGACACTTTCAGATTTAAGTGCCTCTGTGCTTCTATCCCAGGATATGCATTCAGTTTCATGGCAACAGTTTTAGCCTGAGGTTAGCCTAACCCTAACCCTACTTAGGGCGTAGGTGGTATGAAGATTCTGGTTATATCCACTTTGCTAAGAGAAATTTTGGATGCATGCATTTGAAGTATAAAGTGATCACTATATTGTGTTGTTTTTTTGCATGACAGCAATATACAGCCAAGTTGTGTTCTTACAAACACATTTTCTATCTGCTCTTAAAGTTAGACAATATAACTTAGGGATCATTTTAAACATCTCCAAGGAGCCTTGCAGCTTTAGTGTAGCTTTTTACTAAAGTCATGCTAATTGTTATTTCCTTAAATGTATTCTGACAGTCTGATCTGCAACTGTCTCATCAGCATATGTGCACCCTCTAGTGGTCAAACACGCATTTGGCATCTGAGCCTCCTGCGTAACTACCATTCAGTGACCATCCTCATCCAGCAATCACATCATTCCCATCATACACAGCGTACATCCAGGGCAGCCCAAACTGTATGACCGTGATATTCATCATTTCACAATGATGAATAACTAATTTCATGGGTGAGAACCCCCAGACCCACTAGTCCCCTTTATGGTTAAGCAAATTGTATGCCTGTCAACTCAGTAGGTTTTGGTGTGTCAACTGGTACACAGATAATCTTTCCTCTCCCATCCCTCACCTGGCAGCCGTTGTGGATGAGGGCATCCATGGCCTTCCTGATGGCAGGATTTGGTGGCTCACAGCTCTCCACCTGAGTCTTGAAGTTGTGCTCGAAGTATGGTCCCATCATGTAGTAGTTGTCTCCCCATTCATCCACAGTGATCTTAGCCTTGGTCTGGATGACTGTGTAGATTCCCCCAACTATAGTGACACACAGGGCAAGTGAAAAGACCTGAAGTCACTGCAAAAGGTTTCAAACTTTTGACTTGACTTGTCTTTTAAAAATTCTTGTAAAAAGTCCAATAGGAACCAGTCTGTATGTTCACAGACTCCTAACACATTACTACAGTAATCTGTGGAGGGGGGGGGGGGGGGGGGGGGGGGGGGGAAGACTGTCAGTGTTTGAAAGAAAAGGGTAAAAACTTTTAACTGTTGCAAGCCAATAGTGCTACAATTTGCCACTTTTCCTAACCAGTCTGGTTAAGAAATGGCGTTAAAGATCGCCGTTTAATTAGTCAGAAAAAAGGGGGTGGGGTGGGGGGCGCCTTCAACACCCCTTCTGAGTGGCGGAAAAAAGGGCAGTTTTCCCGGTCTTTGAACGCCGCTTTTTTCTGCCACCCACAAAAACTGCGTTCATTGCGCAGCTACGTGACGTAAAAAGCGATCTGTCGGAGTCAACGCCATTTTTACGTTAATTCTTAATCCAGTTATTTATTTTGAACTTTAACTATTTGATGCAGAACACCTGATTATTCTGTAAATAGTTTTAAATGGTTATATAAAAACGCCTGAGGCCTTGCTACATTTTTAGGAAAGTAGTTTCTATATAACTTTGTTTGCAAAACTTGTGCATAATTTCTTTTACATTTACAATTTCTTTTGCTTTTCAAGTTCTGAAAATGATTTGTCAAACATGTTTGTAGTTTTTGCAGTTAAAAAAAAAAGAAAGAAAAAAAAGAAGTGTAACTTTTCCTAACCTCATATTATTTGTGTGTTGATTTTAGAGGTAATACAGTACGTCAAAATGAAAAGAAAAACCCCCCAAATCAAACAAGGAGTGCTGACAAGAATTATTTTAAACAAGGCAAGGTAAACAGTTTTAAAAATGTGAAATATACAAGGTAAAATCAAAAGTATTGAAAAAATGGCCAATTAAACCCCCAGAGGGTTAAGTTTCTGAGTATCATTGGGGTGAATTTGCTGGAATGTCAACTGAAAGACTGAAAACTGTTTTGAGTGCTTTCTGACTTGCTAATGCCCTCTCTGCAGAATGACTGATTTCAAATTGCTCAAGAAGCAGCCTTATAACCGGTTACAGACTGATGGGCAACAAAAATTGCTTCCTCATAATTTTGATTTCCATCTTCATTGGCATTAGGTGAACAGACACCTGAATGATAATTAAACTACTGCTACTTCTATAGCTGTTCACATTTCCAGATCAGTTAATCAAATGCATTTAGTAGCAGCAACTGGCTGCTTTTCAGTCTCCTAATTCCTATGGAAGTATGAAAGATGTTCCTAGTTTTTCTATACAGTGTTTTTGCTTTTGGTTTACTTTTGTTAAATAACCTCTTATTATGTGCAGAGACATAATCCAGATTGTCATTTAAAAATACACAAAAATGGAAAGAAAGACACAAAACATACCTACATACATTATCATCAGCTGTTCAGTCATTTAGTCAAACACTAAATCACTGAAAATAGTCAGGGGCCATCAATTGCTTTAACGGATCTTTTATACAAACCCATTTTGACCAGGAGCTGATATTGCACTGGTGCCATTTGTAGCAGACACAAAATTTCTGGTTTGTAGGGGTCAAAGCACATTTGGTAATGTTTTTCAGTCTCACTAGGCAGCATAAAGACAAATACTGATATTATCACCAAAACATTCAGTGGAGAATGACGTCTGAGCTGCATCAGAGAGCAGGGATCATATAAACAGTAAAGCCAGAGAAAACAGCAGAGTGCCTGATAACCTCTGAACCTTAATGTTCAAATTAATATTTACATTTTTAGATTCATTAATTTGAAATTAAAGGTAATTAAACACAACATGAAACAATGTGCTATTGTCACATCTTTAAAAAAAAAAAAGTTGCAGTTTCCATATCCAACTTCAATCCAAACTGCCAGTAAGAGTGAATAAACAGGCAGCAGAAATCTTCACTATGCATAAAATGTTCTCAGTGATTCGAGGCAAAAGCCACAATTAGTACTGTAACACGACACCTGCTGTCCACATGCAAACCAATTCAATATTCAGTCATTTTATCTTTTTTGTGTTTAGGACACTACATGAGCATCAGCTTAATGTTTAACTCTTCAGAGGGAGCACACTCAGTGCAATATTTGCTCTTCAAGGGGCAAAGAGTGACTCTTTCATAAAATATTACTAATATTAACAGACAGAGGGGGTTTTTTTAAACAGGAAATTGTCACATGGCATGTATTAGAGATACAAATTAAAGTAATGTTTAAACTGAAATACTGATACTTTAAAGATACACATTTGTTACTGTTCATTGTGGTTTCACAAGTTTTTTTTAATTCCTTTGATTCATAGATATTTATACATTCTGTATATTGTTTTTCTAGCCACAAGAGTAATTTAAAAAAAACAAATATATACACACGCACACTGAAATATATTGACTCAAACACATTAATATGAGCTAACTGATTCAAATGAAATAAATACTACAATGATACATCCAGTGTTTTACTGTATAAAATGGAAATAGAAGTAATACAGTTCTGATGAAACTGACCTTTGTTGGTGACCTCCCAGGAGACTTCGAAGAGCAGCAGGTCCTCCACAGGCAGCTCGTCCTCCTCCCAGGCCGGCAGCACCCCGGTCAGGGATGTCATGGAAAGCGAACGGGACAGAGGCATCTTACAGTTTCTGGGGGTCCAACAAACGTCACTGTTGGGAAGAAGCTCCGCTTAATCTCAATGTAGGACCTTCGAACCTGTTGTGGCTAGAGGCCAGAAAGAGCTTTCCTCTCCGAAGGCAAAGATGAGACTTATTAAAAAAAGAAAAAGAAAAAAAAAAGTCACGAGGGCAAAGCACTTCCACCCCGCCTACCTTCCATAATCATGTCAGGGTGAAAGGTTTGGTTTTGGGGTTGTGTGTGATAAAAACAAACTGCAGCTGTGTGCTCAGTCTTACTATTTATTTATTTATTTATTTATCTCTCTGAGGAGTGAAGGCCTAAAGTGATCAATCCGCTTTAGGCTGACTCCATGTTAGCTTAAAAGTGTTGTTTTTAGAGCAGATACTAAAAAACACCTTTACATTCCACTCAATACAACCAAATAAGGATTCTACAAACTACTGAACATCTACAGGGAAATTTCCTCGCTCACGCAAAAAACAGAATAAGGCCTGTTTTCGCCCCTTAGTAGTGTCAAACTCCAGAAAAGTCAGATATTATATCAGCGGAAGCTGTTCACTCCTGAGTCAACTATATTAGCTAGCATGCACATGTGCTCCGTGAGGAACCACCCTGCTGCTGCTCAACAAGGCAGAGTTGATTAGCAAAGGTGCAGCAGCTTGTGCCAATCTGACACTTCTCTCCTTAAACCTTACCAAAAAAAACTCACCCCAACTACTTTTATCTAATTAAGACTATTTTTGTAATGGTTTGTACTAAGGAATGATTTTGTAATCTGAATTTCTAAAACCAATAAAAGCAAAAATCAAAATTTGCAAAATAATTTGTATCTAACTGAGACTCTTTGCAGGCCTCAATGAGCTCTTACACTGGCTGACTGATTTATGTAGCTTTTTTTCATCTTTGTGACCAGTCAAAGTGCTTTAGTCTACCAGCCACATCTAACCATACATCTATGCGGACTTCCTGGTGAGAACATACCCCTAGGCAGCAGTTTTTGATATGGGCAACATGGGCGGTTCCCCAGGGCAGCATCATGGCATCTGCAAAAAAAAAAAAAAGAAGAAAGTTGCTCGCCCTTCTGTTTGCAAGGTGCGCCTGCTGCTTACAGGAGGAGAGGGGCGGGCCGGCTGGAGCGGCATCTAACGACCAGCTTGCAAAATAAAACAAAAATAAAAACAAACCAACAAACTAGGGCTTTCAATGTAAACGCCGTTGTCACGATTAATGCTATTAAAATTTTCAACGCAATTAATCCATTTGGAGCGCAGAATGACTCAAAATCCCTGAAATGTCTCTGTCAATGCATTTCGGGCACTTTGTCCAAAGTTTTGTCCATTCTGTGCTGCAGATGGTTTGATTGCGTTAAAATTTTTAATCTTGATGACGGCATTAACGCGTTAACGTTGGCAGCCCTACAACAAGGGGTCCTAGCACTAGGGTTTGATTAGAGCGTGGAATATTCTTCTTATGAGGGAAACTGATAATCACTGCACTGCAAAAAGCTATGTGCTTTACAGATAACTGGGAAACTTTCTGGGAAAAGTCTGGTGTTGTTAGGTGAGGCAGCATCCATCCCACTTTGAATGGAGTGCTTTCATTTCCACCCAATATGTAACTATCCAGAGTTGGGACCATGAAGCAGAGCTGCAGTCTTACACACCTCTGTGCAACTTCTTTCCTCTTCCACGTACAAAGATAGGCAGAGCCTTCGGCTTTTAGACGCCTCTGTATGGAAAAAAAATAAACTGTGACAAAGCACACAGTTGGGACTGGATCAGGTAACCCTGAATACTCTGTTAGTTAAGCTGTAATAGGCCTAGGCTGCTAGGGGCTTCCCATGATGCAGTTACTGTTTCCTTTTCACTCACCTCTGCATTTAATCATTAGTTATTATTCATCTCTGGCTCTCTTCTGGCTGTCCCTCCCCGAGCGTTGTTCTGCTGGAGGTTTCTTCCTGTTAAAATTGAGTTTTTCCTTCCCACTGTCGCCAAAGTGCTTGTTCATAGGGGTTCATCTGATTGTTTTTCTCAATATTATTATAGGTCTTTACCCTACAATATAGAGCACCTTGAGGCTATATAAGCAAAACTGAATTGAAAATTGAATTCTATTGCACACACTGTAGTTGATTGCATAGAACTGGTTCAGTGACAACTCATGACTTTATATTGACTAAGTAAATGTTGCGGAAACTTTTACCTGGTCTCATTTCAGTAAAAATATAAATCTGATGCATGGGGCACTACCGCCACCAACTGGTGTGGAGTGTATATACAATTTTTGATGTGATAATTAGGTATTAAACATGTTACTGTCATGGTCCGTGTGAGTGGCTGTGTGTTTTTCCGCAGAGCTGGAGTTCCCACCTCTGGGCGCAGCTTCCTCATTCCAATCATGATCTGCGCCTGTTGGCAATTTGGGGCTGCCTGCATATAAGACCAGCGCTCTCAACACACACTCAAACACATCCTGCTATAGCAACACCCTTTTAACACATGTTCTTCGTTCTTATTCAGATATTTATTAGTAAGTGAGTTATGTGTATGTATATATTGTATATATTGTGCTATTTCTTACTTCTTGTATTGTCTGTTTTTGTTACTGTTTGGACTGGAGCACTGTAACCAACATAATTTCCCCTAGGGATCAATTCAATAAGTCTTCGCCAGACCAACAAGTTATTCCTGTGCATCATCGTATTTGGTGTATGCTTCCCTGGTGTTTGTCTGTGGTTTTCAGGAATCGTCTGGTACATCTTTTCACTCTCAACATTACTCACCACTTCTGAACGCTTGTCTGCTCAGTAATCATGATCACAGCCCAAGCTCTGTTAGATATCCATTTACCCGCCTGCCTTCCTCCCTGCTCCTTCTCAAAGGATTCACGATAAACACTCCCTCTGGACACTCGGATTCTGGACACCTGGATCACTTCGACTGCCTTCCCCTCACGCCAGCCTCCACCTACAAAATCTGTAAGACACTTCCAGGTTACTTACTCTTCTTACCTGACCAATCGCTGCCATCTCTGTGTGTTCAAGCGCCACTGACCCTCACCTGAGCCACAATCCTCTCCCTGAGTTGTCTCTCTAGCTCCTGCTATGACGATTTACAGCCCCTTTGGTTTTCACAGCTCATAGTTCACGTTTCTACTTCATAGTTCACAGCTCATTTTCAGATGTTTTGTTCAAAATGATCTTGTTCAGATGTTATTTACTGTCAAGATTCAAGAAGATTATTGTCATATACACCACAAAACACAAGTGGTTATGCAGAGCAATGAAATTCTTACTTTGCAGGTTCCCTTCACACAACTAAATAACAACTAACTAAAATAAAGAATAAGTTTAAGTCTGAGGATACAAAATAATAAAGTAAAACAAGTGCTTATGTAGCTTATGTGTGGGTGTAGTCAGAATCTAAAGTGCCAGTAGTTGCAACACTGTCACAGTGGTAATATATACAGAATGTGCTATATTAAAATGTTTAGACTGTATGAAGTTGTGTTATGTTAGATATAGATGTAAAAAATTACAATTTAACAGGTCAAAGATAATCACAGTTCAAGCGTAAGTCAGTGATTCAGTAGCCTGATTGTGAGGTAGTCACACTCGAACGTCAAGGAAGGTGGTAGGGAAGCAGACTATGCAGACATTTTGGGTTTCCAAGGTGAGCAATTTATTTGCAGTGAACTTAATTTAATGTATAACTTAACAAAACTTTCCCCAAATCAATTCATTTAACAAAACTCAACATAGCATTGCTCTGGTGACACCGCTCACCTCTCCTCTCTCCTGCATCTGGTAGAGACTGGCTTTAAATAGGGCCATCAATTTCCCTCCAATTGCCCAGCCAGTACCACTCACTCAACTGAGGGATCTAAAACTCTACTCAGGTTATCTAAAAACACAAAACCTCTACACACTTCTAATATGCACATTTACACAACTAAATGGCAGTATTAACAAAAGGAAAAACATTCAACAAATCCCTTTAAACATTAACACAAACAAAAGGAAGCATCTCTATGGAAAAAGAAACCCCTCCACATGGTTTGACCTGATGATGTCATGTGTGACATGATCAGGACTTTAAAATGAGGAAATGCCAAGCGGGCGTTTCCCCACACCTGACACTCATGATGACTGAAAAGACAAACAGAGTAAGTATGAACAAATGACTTAATCTGTAACATAATAAAGTATAAAGAAACATAACTTAGTATTTGTCTTAATTTGCAGAATGTTTGATTTGCCGGCAACAAAACGCTTACACAAACAAACCCGGGATAGTGAGTGAAGCAATGTTACTTGACAAATAGCGAATCATAGCAAATACATAGAAACAGAATAATGTGTACAATGTGCAAAAAAAAGGTAAACACATATGGGACAAATGGAGAGAATTACAACTGCTTCTCCACTTTGTCACACTGATAGCCTGTGGATTGTCCTTGCTTTCACACACCTGTAGCAGGCAGATGACAGGAGTGTGAACAGTGTGTGCTGTGGGTGTGTGTGGTCCTTGATGATGTTACGTGCGCTTTTTCTGACCTGAGTGTTGCAAATGTCCCTCATACATTTTATTTTATTTATTGTTATTATTTATTGTTATTATTTA